GTCTCACACTCACACCCACACACCCACGGTCTCACACACTCACACCCACAGCTGCCCAACAGCACAGCACCCACTTTCTCTCCTAGAGTGTAAAAACTGAGGGGCCCAATTGGCTTTCCAAGTAATCCCTGCCCAGAGTGTCCTTTCTCAAATGATTAGAATCTACAAGCTAGAGCTCATTTGGCAGCAACTCTAACTAGCTCCTGGAGCAGATTCCTAGGTGTGTCTGTAAGGATGGGACAAGACCATGAGGAAGGTGAAAAGAGAGACTGTCACCGTATTAAAGAGCCCATCCACCTGCAAGAAAAGTCAAGAGTGTAGTATCTGACGTCTCAGTGGAAGGAAAACCAGCTGTTCCGCTTGGGCCCCAGGGGCTTTGGGGGCAGGAGCTGGGCTGATGGGAAGGGGACCCAGAGATCCAACCACACCCACCCTCTCAGGCTTCTCATTCTGAACCATCTGTCATCCCAACCAGCTCATTTCTTGCCTTCCTGTCCCTCTGGAGCACAAGCTGGTTCAAGGACAGCTGGCTCCAATGTTCAGGAGTCAAAGAAACCACACTTTGCTCATAAGATTAGGAAAGAGTGGGAGGTGGGGATTTGAGAGAAGCCCGCTACCAGGTGGGGCAGCTTGTGCTGCATGTACAAAGGGCTTCAATACGTGCTGAATTCTTGTCCCCTCAAAAGGCCTGCAGGCTACTGTGCACGGCATGAAGTCTGTAAGAGGGAAAGGAATGACCAAAATCCTTCTCTGCTCCAACCTCGCCTCTGCTGACCAGGGAAGAACTGGGAGGGCATCAGGTGTGGATACAACCCATGTCTCTGAGGTCCGGGGAACTGAGCAACCCCTCAGAAGCCAGAGGGACGCCAGCGAGACATACTTACTTTGGTAAGATATTCCCTCATCACCTGGATAAAGTAGGGCATGGTGAAGTCTAGGATGCTGTGCCGCCAGGAAAGCTCGAGAACCACATCGGGGTGCAGCAGGTCATAGCAGGTGAAGAGGGACGCGGCAAAGCACTCCCGCTTGCCTTCCTCCAGGAACCACTGCAGTAGGCCCTCGGCCAGCTCGGCATCCCGGGACTCGGCCGCGTACTGCATGGCCTCCTGCAATGGGACAGCTGGTGAGGGGGGCGCTCACTGCAGGCCACCTTAACCACGTGCGCAGCGGAGGAGCGCCACGGGGACGTCCCGAGAGCCTCGACACCCACTTTCAAGAAATCATCGAAGGAAACTGCCCTGATACCTTAGCCCCGGAGGGTCAGACAGAAATGGAAAGAATTCACCAATCACCTCCTGAAAGAGAGTCCAAGAGGAAAACTCCCAGGAATATTATGGCCAAATTCCAGTGCTCCCAGGGCAAGGAAGAACTACTTCAAGCAGCCAGAAAGAAACAATTCAAATACTGTGGAGCCACATTCAGGATGTTCTACTACATCAAAGGAGCAGAAAGCTTGGCATGATACCCCGGAAGGCAAAGGAGCTAGGACTGCCACCAAGAATAACCTTTCTAGCAAAACTAGGGGGAAAAATGGACAGAAAACGAAATGGAGAACTTCCCAGCATTCCTGACGAAAAGATCAAAGCTGAATAGAAAATCTGACAGCTGGACTTAGGCCCCAAGGGCCATCAAACTGTGCATGCCCTTTGACCCAGCAATCCCACTCCTAGGTCTGTACCCCAAAGAGATCAAAGAAAAGGGAAAAGGACCCACACGTGCAAAGATATTTATAGCAGCTCTTTGCGTGGAGACCAAGAACTGGAAATTAGGGAATGGCTGAACGAGTTGTGGCCTATGAATGTGATGGAACACTGATGTGCTATAAGAAACGGTGAGCAGGGTGGTTTCAGGAAAAAACATAGCAAGAGCTATACGAACTGAGGCAGAGTGAAATGAGAAGAAAGGGGATCGTCGTGCACAGTAACTGGCAACGTGCAACGATGACCAACTCTGAAAGACTTAGCTACTCTGATCAATATACAGCAATCTGAGACAATTCCTAAGGACTCAGGATGAAAACTGCTTTCTACCTCCAGGGTGGAACTCATGAACTCTTGGGTGAAAAGCTAAGTATAATTTTCTCACTTTTTTCTGGCCACATCACTAATATGGAAACATGTTTTACATGATTTCACATGAATGATCTATATCCTTTTATTTGCCTTCTCAGTGGGTAGGGGAGAGGGGTGGGAAGGAGAATCAGGAACTCAAAATTTAAAAAGAATGTTAAAAGTAAATAATGATGTAAGTTCTAATCCGGCCTCAGACACATGATACTTACTAGCTATGTGACCCTAGCCAAGTCACTTAACCCTGATTGCTTCACCAAAAAAACAAACAAAAAAAGGTAAATAATAAAATGGAAAATGCAGTGATTACAATATTTAAAACATAAGGTCAGGGACCAAATGTTAAAAACTTCTGCCATAGGCAATGAGTTTGCTGCTCTGAGCCTCGGTTTCTTCGTAATGTAAAGTGGGGATAACAGCTACAGGCCCTTCTTCGTGGGGATGCTGGGAGGCTCAAGTCAGCCAAGATTTATTAAGTACCCGCTATGGGCCGGCACAGTGCCAGCGCTGGAACACAAAAAAAGAAAAACACACATGCCCCAAAGGCCCAGTCCCCTGCTCTCAAGGAGTTCCCCATCGAATGGAAGAGACCATATGAAAACAACCATATGGACAAGATAGAGACTGCGTCTCAAAAAGAAGTTCCTAACATTAAGGAGGACTGCAGAAGGCTTTAGCTGGGACTCAAAGGAAGCCGGGGAGCTCAGCGTTCCAGGCACAGGGACGGCCGGAGAGAACGCCCAGAGCCAAGGACGAGCCGGAAGCCCGGCGTCAATGACTGAAGGGCACGTGCTGGCTTGTCACGTGGAAGAAGACTGGAAAGGGAGGAGGGGGTAGGACACGAAGGGCTTCGAATGCCAATCAGAGCATGCATCTGATCCTGGAGGCAGCTAGGGGGTGCAGAGGATAAAGCTCTGGAGCTGCAGTCAGGCCAGACTTGAGTTCAAATACTGCCTCTGACACAGTAGGACCCTGGATAAGTCAACCTCTTTCAACCTCAGTTTCTTCATCTGTAAAATGGGGAAAAACAGCACTTTGCTCACTACTTTATACTGAGGATCGAATAAGATAATATACAAACGTGCTTTCCACACTGCTATGTGAATGCTGGCTCTTGTTATTTTTTTATGGTGGGGTCAGAGCCATACTTTGGTGGTTGACTGGACTGGGGAGGCACTTGAGGCAGGCAGACCCCTCTGCAGGCTAATGCAGCAGTCCAGGTGAGGTGAGGAGGGCCTGCACCAGGGTGGGGGCAGGGGCAGAGGAAAGGAGGGGGCGTGTTCCAGAAATGCTGCAAAGGTGACGTCAAGAGGCCTCCGTCACAGATTGGATACGGGGAGGGGGGCGAGATGAGGAGTCAACTGAGCAGGGGTGCCTGGGAGGATGGTGGCACCTCCACAGTGACAGGGGAGACAGGAGGAGGGGAGGCCTTTGGAGGAAAGATAAGAGGTTTCCAGGACAAGCAGTCTGGGACGCCCAGCAGGCAGCTGGAGATCACGAGAGAGGTCAGGGCTGGAGCAGCAAAGCTGAGTGCCACTTGGACACACGTGATAATGGAATCCCTGGCGGCTCATGAGATTCCTGAATGAGACAGCACAAGGACAAGAGAATAAGCTTCTGTGTAGCAGCTACTACTGCTGCGAGATGCCGGCACCGCACTCAAATCAAGCACTTTCACTTACGATCCATTTGATCCTTTTTGGAAGGTACGTGATAGTATCACCCACATCCTACAGGTGGGAAAACTGAGGCAAACAGAGGGTAAGTGAGTTGCCCAGGGTCACACAGATGACTCGAGGCCCAGCGCTCTGCCCACTGCGCCCCCAGCTGTCTCTAAACAGAGAGCCCAAAGGGAAGAGGAGCGAGGACACAGCCCCGGGGGACGCCCACCACTAGCGGGGAGGAAGGCCGAGAAGCACTTGTTCGGAGGAGAGCTAGGAGAGCGGGGTCATGAGCACCTAGCAAGAAAGGAAGCTACCATGGAGAAGAGGGGGAGTGCTAGTGCCCAAGGCTGAGAGTGAGAGAAGGCCCTGCATCTGGCAACCAGGAGATGGAGAATCACTTTGGGGAGAGCGCTCTCATCAGAATGATGAGGCTTCAGAGGAGAGACTGTGTCCACTGTGACGGCCTCCTCCGGGAATTCTGCCATCAAAGGAGAGAAAAGACCCAAGTGCAGTTTGTCGGAGGGTGAGGGGGCCACGGGCAGGTGTGTAGGCAGGCATAGACAGGAGGTAAGTGAGAAAGTGAGAGAGGGGGAGTCCGCTGGAGGAGCCAGGACGGAGCGGGGCTGTGGGCTGTGGTTACCAGGGTGAGGAAAAGGGCCCCCTCATCATGTGAGGAGGGAGGGAGATGGGGGAAAGGGAGTGGACTGAGCTCTCAGGAAATGGCCTCAGTTTTCTTCAGCCCAGCTTCTCAGCTGAGAAGGGAGCCATGGGAGGCTTGAGGAGGGATGGGAAGGATTGCCGTGCTACAGTGAGGGCCCAGCTGAGACTCCATTATGCTCATTTTTGATGGACCCAGTGAGCGCAGGAGCAAAAGCAAGGCAGCAGCCTAGGACCTGGCGGGGCCAGCGAGATCAGCTCGGTATCGCTAGCGCTACTCGAGCATCACTGTCGTGAGGACGGTAAAAATGACTGAGCTTGAGGCCCGAGGCTCGAGGGCCGTGGCTCTCCAGGCAGGCAGCTCTGCGGGGTCTCCAGCAGCCTCGAGGGGAGAGGGCCGCTGTGTAATCCCAAAGGATGAGCTGGACTGGAGAGGCCGGCAGCAGGCACACTCCGGCCCTCGTGCTGGAGGGGGCGGGGGCAGTCTCACACACCGAGCTGCTTTTACCCGAACGTGAGGCTGACACAAACCGAGTAAGTCGCCAAACTGGCCCCACGCGCTCCTGGCTGACCAACTCTCAGGGTGCTTCCTGAGGGGGTCCTGCCCAGTGGGCACCGGGGGAAGCTCTGCTTACGCCTCCATTCCCGGCTACTTTCTATGAGATGCTGTGGATGAAATGGCTTGTTCAGCTGCTTATGTCCCTGCCCGCTACAGGAACGAGGTGGGCTTCTGGGCCGGCCACACGGTGCAGATACCTAACGCTAACCTGCCTTTGGCAGGCGGGTGGTGACGGCAGGGCACCAGTTGGAACGGCCCCACTTGCAAGGTAACGTTCAGTCTGTCGTGGCAAGCCGTGGCCTGCCTGGCCTCGGATGCAATGATTGCATCTGAGACCATAAGAGAATGAAGCACCCCCCTGCAGCAGCTCTTGAAGGAAAGAGAGCCAGGGATGCTAAGGGGGATCGCGCAAGGCTGAGCGTCCAGCCATCACGGGCACTTTTGGGCGCTGGGTCCCGGCTCTACTCAGACAGGGACAAAACACAAAGGAAGCAAACCCATCTCTTCCCCACCCCCCAGCTTTCCTCGACAGCTGTGCAGGAAAGCCACCACCTCCCCACACGAGGCAGATTCTGGGGGCTGTCAAACCTGCTCAGAACACGTCAGATGCTTCATCAGTCACTGGCGTGAGAGCCGTTCACAAGGTCAAACACTCTGGATTCCCCTCTACCCCAATTGGGGATTTCAGTCTAGGGGACGCCAAGAAAGGGAGCCAATCACAGCCTGCATTTGTAACAGAGGAGTTAACCCCAAACAAGACAACCAGGAAGAGATTCAGCCACTAGCCACAGCGAGGGGGTGCCTCGCCTCCCCCCCTTCTGAGTGGCTGGGAAGAGCTGCCTCGAACATTCACCACAAAAACCCCTGCCCAGGCCTGCCCCAAAGGAGGGCTGAGGCAGGAGTGGCCCTGACAAACACAACCCGAGAGGGGCTGACACGGTGAAACACGGAGGTGTTTCACTTCCTCGGTTTTAAATCCAACCGACTGCCGAGGAGCTGGGGAAGGCAGGCACTGACCTTGTAGAGCCGGTCCTTCTTACAGAGCTCCACACTCTGCCTCCAGCGGTTATTCCCTTTGTACAAGTAAGCAGCGATCCGCCGGAACTCCATCAGCTGGTGCCTCTCCAGTCGCTGAGCCAGGCCGATGTTGTCAAAGTTGTCGTAAGCATCAATAGACGCCCTCAAGCCCTGCGGAAGGCAGGCTCAGGCTTAGAACAGACCCAGCAGACCGGCATTCTGGGAGCCCAAGGACTCCTACCAGTGTTTCAGTGGGTGATCCCCAGCCAATCACTCACTCACTCACTCAACATTTACCAAGCACCTACTATGTGCCAGGCACGGTGCTAAGTGCTGGCCACTGGCAGGAGCAGAAGCAGGTGCTGATACAGCAGCTGGAAGCACACCGCAGCTGGGGACCACCACCGAGCACCCACTCCTGTTTCAGATGGGGAGGAACGCGGCGGCAGCGCTAAACAAGGCCCACGGGCCCCAGACCAAGCAGGCTGGGTCCTTGGGAAAAGCAGCATTCGGTCTGCACTTGGAGGCCAACGTCACTGAAAGGCTGGAAGGTGCCAGGGTTTTTCACTGGCTTGTTTGATTTAATGCTGGCCAAGGCCAGGTTTGCCTCTGGTCCCAGTAAAGGGAGCCTCCACGGGGCTGCTGCGGGCCCCAAAGACACACCACAGCATGGCACGGCACTCCCCGTCGGCTGGAAAAGAAGCCACCCCCCACTAGGATCAGTAACACACAGAGTAACAACACCAGGCTGTGACAGGCCTGTTAGTGACGCACGAGGCGAGAAGAGGACGCAGAGACGGTTTGGGTCGGTGTTTTCTGCCAGGGAATCAGGGAAGCCGATGAACTGACCTGGTAATCCTCTTCCTCGGTCAACAGGTTATTAAGGGCCTCGTTGACTGCCTTGTTGTTGTGATTCTGGACCGAGCGGAGGTAAGGTTTCACCAGAGGAAGCTGATTCACCTACCAAATTGGGAAAAAGGAAAAAAAGTCTGAAAAATCCAAGTACTGAGCTCAGGACCCCTCCCCCCTTTAGAACTGATACTATGAACAAGACCATGAAACCTTCTATCTGCAGGAGGCGGTTTATCTAACTCAACAGAAATCTCAGATATGGGGTCCTGTGTAGATGGAATTCTTTTTCACATCTGTTGTTTTTATAATTAATATCAGACGCTTAAATGATCTGTTGGGACACCTTGTACCGGAAGAGGAAAGCACGGGATCAATCAAATGCAGGGAATGAGCCTTTGGGTACAAACACCCCTTCTCCACCGGCTCCCCTTCCTTGCTGGGTGAGCGCGCCAAGGCTGTATGGGGGTGGGGGTGGGGAAAAGGACAAGGGAAAGGTCCATGACATCCGTGAGAAAAGGACATCAATTTTTCACAGGATGGAACTGACCTTCTGCTCTGCAGCCTGCTTGGACTGAAGTCCCTCTTTCATGCTATTCTCAGGAGAATTCTGTTCACGGTTTTTGGTAAACTCACCTTTGAAAAAAACCTGACGGTGCGGGTATGATCCAGCCGGGGAGAGAGGACCGACAAGAGGTCATTGATCAGGAGGGGTTTGTAGTCCAGGTAAAAGTGGAGGGCTTTGTAGTACAGTTCCACATTGGCCACCTGAGCAAGTCAGAAAGGCAAAGGGTTAGCACGGCTCTGAGCAAAGCCAGGGGGCGGCTCGGATGAGCTCAAACAAGGGAAGGATCCAGATGACTTTTATTTTTAAAATCCTCGTTCTTAGGTTTGTTTGTTTTTTTTAATTTCTAGGCAATTGGGGTTAAGTGACTTGCCCAGGGTCACACAGCTAGTAAGTGTCAAGTGTTTGGTCTGAGACTGGATTTGAACTCGGATCCTCCTGACTTCTGGGCCGGTGCTCTATCCACTGCGCCACCTAGCTGCCCCTTATTTTTAAAATCCTGAACTTGAACATCGGGGAAAAAAAAAAAGAGAGAGAGTTTCCATATACCAAGTCTAACATAAAAAGGACTGCATATGAAACCAGGACTCAGAAGGCCATTTTCTTCCAAGCATATGATAACTTCAACGTTACCTTTACTCAGTGCTACCTATTGAGAGTGCTGGCAGCGCAGAGAAAGGTTCAGAACAGTTCCCATCCCTAAGGTGACCTCACAGGGACCGGGCCAGCTGTGAGGTCTCTGCAGTAGGAAAGGCCTCTGGCTGAGAGGGGCAGGAGCCAGGGAAGCTGGGATGGACAAGAACCGTCCCCTCTTCGATGTGTTTTATTCCTTCTTTCTTACGGATCACTATTCCGTCTTTCCTGCCAAAGTCCTGTCCCCACAAATTAAAGAAGAAGCCTTGTAAAAATAAGAGTAGTCAAGAAAAACATCCCCACCCACCAGCTGTGTCCAAAGAGCTGCGTCTTCCCACCCCGAGGCAGGGGGAGGCAGGAAACCCATGGCTGGGCCCGGAATCCATCAGAGTTCTTCAGACGGGCTTTTCTTGCCAATGTGCTTGTTGCTGTCTACACGGTTTTCCTGGCTCCGCTCAAGCCCTGGCGCATCCCAAGTCCTTCAGGTGGGCTCAGGCTCTCCCTCATTATTTCTTCTGGTACAATAACACCTTTGTCCAGCGTTCCTCAGTGGGAGGGCACCTCCTTCCCTGTCGGTTCTTTTTTCCTTTTAATCCCCACTTCAGGGGTCACGCTCTGAACCTCAAGTCATTCTGGTCTGCATTTCCTGCCTCCCTGGCATGACCCTCCCTTCTCTGACTGCTGTACTTCTCTATATGCGTGCTCGTGTATGTGTGTGTATGCTTGTGTGGATGTGGGTGTGTGTGTATGTGTGTACACACATCCGACCCTCCTCTGTTACTTGGCACAGAAAGGAGGAGGCCCTTCCGTGGCCGGCTTCCCTCATGCCACGCTCCGTGCTTCTGTTTTTCCGTCGTCCTCCCAGCCGTGTTTCTGACTTTAAGACTGCACAATCCCAAACGCCTCTGTCCGGCGCCGTCTCATCCCAGAACTTGCCCTGGCATCGGCGGCCTCCTCACCGTGGCACGTGCAATCAGCCCAGGGCCTTCTTGGTGAGGCCGCCCCCTTCCTCCACAGGTGAGACCCTTTCTTGGCCTCCATGAGGCAAGCCCCAGCTGTGGGGACCATCATTCCCTGCCCTGTCTCATGCCTTTTAACCTCCTTTGTATGGGTAATCTTCCATCACTAGAATATAAGCTCCCTGAAGGCAAGGATGCTCTTCTGTATTTGTGTGCTCACTGCCACCACATGCTTCTCCTTCCCTTTGTGATAAGCCCTATTACCAAAGTGATTTCTGCCCCCTCTTCCTCTTTTCTCCCTTCAGTCCCCAAATCTTGCCATTTCTACCTTCAGAGCAGGTCTCCAATGTCCACTTTCTCTGCTCTGACCCTACCACCCCCTCACCCCGGTGCAAGCCCCCATCACCTCGTGCCTCAATAGCTGCTGGGGAGGGGGGGCGGTCTGCCTGCATTCTGCCACCAAAGTGATTTTCCTACAGCTCAGGTCTGAGCGTGCCACCCCACTACTCAGTAAACTCCAGTGACCCCTGTCGCCTCCAGATCAAATAAGGACCCCATAAACTGCCCCCTCCTCCCTTCCTGCCGTCTTACACCTTTCTCTGCACCATGTACTCTTTGTTCTCATGACCCCAGCCTCCTGGCTGTTCCACAAATAAGACCTCCATCTCTCCACTCTGGGCATTCTCTCTGGCCATCCCCCATCCTGCAACATTCTCTGCCTGCCTCTTCTGCATGACGTGCTCCATGGTCTCCTTAGCCTTCCACCTGAGCATCTCTGGATGTTGAGGTTTGCACATCATCTCCTCCATGACACTGGGAGCTCCTCACCGGCAGGGACCAGCACCCCCAGGGCCCGGCACACAGCACAGGCTTAATCAATGCTTGCCAAACCTCTCTGAACCTGAGAACAGACCCAGGTTTCCATCCCTTGGGGGGCACCTGCTCTTCTCCATCAGGATCCAACTGCCCCAATAAATGTGCCTCTCCAGGTTTCTCCTGATGTGTGTCTATGTTTCAGAGTTCCCTCAGAAATGTGTCAGAGTCCCATGTCTCCCGGGAGGATGCTCAGTGGGGCGGGGCACACTTGTCCAGGCTGGAAACCCACTTTGTCTCTCACCTTTTACAGCCTTCTGTCTCAACGAACCCTCCCTGGAGCCCAGGCTCTCCTAGGCCAGCTCTGACCTTCTCTTGCCTAGACCAGAACCCAGGGTCCCCTTCCTCACTGCTCTCCTTTCCCAGCTCCTCTTTGTAAGCCGCCATCTTTCCCCATAGGATGGAAACTCCCTACGAGCAGGGAATGTCATGCAACTGGCTCCCCGATGTTCACCAGAGTGTGGGCACACAGCAAGCATTTAATAAATGCTCTATTATCACATCTTCCTCCTTTCTCTACTCAGCCCTGGCCAGATACCCTGGGACCTAAAGGGATGTCCTTAACAGAAACGTTGAGAGGTCCCCGAGGACCTCCGAGTCCTCGATGCCCCATGGGACTGGTCACTAACTCTCCTGTATTTCCAAGGTCGCCCTGTGGCTTTCTTGTAGGCCACAGGGATCCCTGGCCAGACTCCGGCCACACGAAGAGGCTCCCCGTGTTTTCTGGCGCTGCAGTGGCTTTTAAGCCAGGTTCCATTTCCCACCGCCCAGGGCCTCCTCACTGACATTTTGTGCAGCTCTCAGATGGACAAGGCAGCCGTGGGATAGATGAGCTGTCCCCACTTTGCACGCCACCACCAAGTCACTGTGAGTTGTGTTGGTGAAAGAGAGACCTCCTGTGCTGGGCACACAGCCGGCTCTTAGGGCATGCTGAGTGGTGGCGAAATGCCCGCCTGGCAGGAGCTCCACACATCAGCCAGGTGATGGTGATGAGCAGGAGCTCAGCCCACCCTTCTCATCTCCACCAGGTTTGGTATCTTCATCAAAGAAGATAAAAGCCCCGGGGCCACAACGGTGACTTTGGAGGTGGATTTTTAACTTACAGAGACAGGCAGAAAACAAGAGTGACTGGGAAAAAACAACCCACAATAAAACCCTACAACATCAGAGTGAACCGAAGCTGAAGAAAGGTCTCCAGGAAGTGGCTGCGTAATAAAATCTGCATTTTCTTCATCCCAAAGAACAACATTGAGTGGCCTCTCCTCAGCTGGATGTGGGACGGAAAGAACGGCAGTGACCCAAAGAGGAGAATGGGCTTTGACACCGCTGCAGATGCAAGGCTGGCCACCGCCAAAGACGGACAGCCCACAGACTCATTCAGACATACTGGTTTTCCCCCTTTGTTTTTTTGGGGGGGCCACACATGGCTCACGTGGAAGTTCACTGTACATAACTTCATATCTGTAATGGGCTTGTATTTCTTGCCCTCTCAGTGGGTAGCGGAGGGAGAAAATGTGGAACTCAAAATAAAATGGGAAAAAAAAAATAACAAGTACAAATGCAGTCAAAGATAGAGGCAAGTTTGTGGAATGTGCAGGTGCCACAAAGCCGGCAGGGGTCCCCAGGGGTATCAGAACTCAAAGCGAGCTTCTCAGGCCACAGCACTGGGCTCAGTCCAGTACGACGGAAGTCATATCTGGGTGCTGGAAGATCGGTGTTCCAGAACGACAGAGAAGAGGCAGAGGGAGGTGAGAACCTGAAAACTTTGTGGAGTGTCAGGGAACTAAGAGAAGTCACGGCAGTCAAGAGATCCTAAGGCCACCGTGGCTCCGCAGAGGAACAGCCACCGATGGGGGGGGGCCACATCCCACCGGACTCTGCCGTGGCCACCCACTGAGGACTGCCAAGCTGAGCTGCAGCTCCCACAGGCCGGAGGGGCCAGGAGGGGGAAGGCCCAAACCACCACACCACAAAAGGCTCATGATCTTTAGTCTGGTACAGGGCTAGGCAAACTACAGCCTGTTTATGGGAAACTCTGTTTAAGATCTGAAACGATTCTTAGCTCCAGGGCCTGCTCCTGGGGGCGGGTTAATGACAGGCTCTTCAGGCAGACGCCTGAAGGGCTCTCATGGGGAGGGGCCGACTGGCTGGGGGGGGAGCCCTTCCATACCCCCCCCCCCCCCCCCCCGGGCAGGATGTAAATTGTTGAGGTCAGAGCCTCTTCCTTTCTATCGCTCAATTCTCAGCACTCGGCATGTCTGGCGCACAGGAATTTTACACTTGTTTTGTGAATTGATTCTACACGACCTCATGGAATAAAACCTGGCGCACAGGAATATTACACTCGTTTTGTGAATTGATTCTACGCGACCTCACGGAATAAAACCAACAGCAATGGCTGAAAGCCGTAGAACAGTAAAGATGGGAGGTCTCTCAACACTGACAGGCTGCTGAAAAAGTGGCCTGGGCCATGGGGGATGGGGGGAGGGGATGGGTCTCAAGCCAAGCCCTGGTGGGTGAGAAGCTCCGGGCTCCCTTCCAGCTTGAGAGATGGCACCAAAGTGTGCAAACCACCCCTTCCTCCTGTCAGGGCCAGAACAAGACTGCGCATGTTACCTTGGTGATGACGTCCTTGAACTGCCCTTCTTTCCAGGCCTCTGTGGGATGGGCCATCATGGTGGTGATAGCATTATCATACTCCTCATACTTATCGTAGAGGAAGACGAGCTCCGCCCAGAGGTGAGCTTGCTCGGCAGCCCTCAGGACCTGTCGGGACGGCACACAGGGCAAGGACTGGGGTGAGGCCCCAGGCCGGGACAGCCCACCGGAAGCAGCGCCCACTGCCCTCCACGTCTGTGTAGCCTCACCTTGGGAATATTGACTCTGGACCAGAAGAGATCCAGGTGCTCCCGCATCTTCTGTGGCTTGAATTTGGAATACAGGATGGCAAGCTCAGTGAACATCCCCATGTGGGCCCGCTCCAGACCCAAAGCGGCCTCCAGCAGGGCTATCACTTCTTCAAAATAGCCCCGATCCTGGGATGGAAGAAGAAGGACCCCCTTAGGACAGGGAATTTAAATGGGGAAGGAAAAGGCACTTCCTGTCAAATACTGCTCTAAGCACAGTGAGAACCACAGGACAAGACCACAGTGACCCTGGTGAAGAAATGATGCTGAGCTGAGACATGAGGGCCTGGGGTCCCAGTGCTGGCTCTGCCCCTAGCTGGGGGCACCCTGGGCTGTCCCCTTCCTATCTGGGCCTGATGTGATGGTACTCTGTACCCCACAGCCCTGCGTGTGAACTCCCCTCACACACTCACTGCACAGGCATCGTCCTGTGGAGAATCCATCCTAAGACGACTCTTTGACATCTAATTAAATAAAACCCAGCTGCGGTGCTTCCTGACATACAGCCTACCCGACACCAGCCACAGAAAACTTCTCCCACAGATGGGCAAACTCTGGAGGAAGGTGACCAATGAAAAACAGCGGCACTAAGGGTCAGCACAATCTGACGCTAGTCTGACTCAACACAAGCAAACTTCAACAGAACAAAGTAAAGGAAACCGCACAGGTACTGCAGCGCCTTGGAATAGAATCCCCAAGAGAGATAGACCTTCTGCACAAAGAGAAAGATGGCGGAAGAGTCTGGTCTCTCACCTCGGCTGTTTGGAAGGACTCCCCTTGGGATGATGCCCTCCTGAGGCAGAGGTGGGCAAAGTACACCCTTCACCTGCAATGCACAATGCGGCACACTCAGCCGCACCCACCCTTGCTGCTGGTGACAACAAAAATGGCTTTTTAGAAACACAGAGTCATATAGGGCAACTCTTGATTGTGAAGTCATCAATGAAAATAATTGATAGTAACAACATGCTTTAAATCCGGTGAGTCCTTTTAGGGAAACGTATCCCAAGGAAATAAACCAAAATCCAAGTCCTTCGTACAAAGGTCCGCATGGTGGCGATAATCATAAGTGAATAAAGAGAAACAGTTGCTCCTCTATTAACATTGGGCACCAATGGAATTAACCACGACAAGTGACAATTATTGATGCTTGGAAGTCTATGAAATCTTGTTCCATGAAAGACGGACACACACAGAAATGCCAACACTACCAGGCTCAACAGGATCCTCCACACCAGCACCATGTGGTTCTGGTACCAAGAGCCTGAGGACACCTGCTCAGTGTGACGAGTCCACAGACCTCGGGTGGCCGGCCTCTGCCTGCGCTCACACCCAGAGCTGCCGCCCTTTGAGCGCAGGGGGAAGGCGGCCATTGCTTCTGTTGCCTCACATGCAGCAGCTCTGAGGTTGGAATCATTTTGGTGCCATGGACCCCTCGGGTGGTCTGTGAAGCTCACTGCAGTTTGTGGCCTCCATTCATAATGGAAAGAAATGGTCAGTTTCAGTTAGAGGTGTGAGAAAATAAAGGCATAATGTTTTTTCCATCCACGTTCATGGATGTCCTCAAATCTGCCCATGGATCCCATGTTAGGAACCCATGATCTAAGAAAACGTACTTCAAAGACAACGTTTTCTTGGAAAGTTGAAAAAAATCTCTGCTCTTCAATGTGGAGATTGGCTTTCTGAGTTCAAGCAAACCTGCTGAGCCCCACGTGGACAGTGTAAAAGACTGGCCAGGGCTATTCTAGACCCAGGAGGGGAGTGGAGAGCAGCCAGCCTGTTTTCTACAAGGACCTGGGGCCAGCAGTTCAGGGATTCGCCTGTGAGGACAAGTGGCCAACAAGGGCACAGAGAAATCAGAACTGGAATCTGAGCCCAGCTTGGGATTCTTCCCCAAGACAGACCTGAGGAGGCCGGGTTTTTAGCCAGGTCCCTGAGTGTTATCTCCCCTGCTAGACAACAGGCTCCTGGAGAGCAGGGGACAGGCTTCTGCCTCTCACTGTAGCCTCCCCTGCACACAGGACGCTTAATAAATGCTTGTTAACATGTATATAAAATAATACAAAGTCATTTCAAGACGAAGCAAGGGCCACTAGTCAGACCCGAGTATTCTTGGGATGGCCCAGATGTAACAGTCATACAGGCTCGCCAGGCCGGAAGGCTTTCCCTGGCCTGCTCCTCACCCCCTGGGTCCATTACTTATCCGGGCACCAAGTATGACTCCCTGGTATTGCCCGTCAGGGCTGATCTCAATAGCCCCTCTCCCTCCAGCATCTAAATACCCAGTAGAGGCTTAGTGTTTGTTGGCTGGAGCCATCAAAGGCCTTTCTTCATACTAAGGCCCCCTCAGTGTTACAAAATCTTAACTGTTAATAGATGTTCCTGTGTCTATTTTAAATTGATATTGAGATCTTTTGTTTTCATATTGCCTTCATCCCAAACATTCCCTTTTCCTCTAACCAGCATGCAATTCCTTCTAACAAACGAAATAAAGAAAACCCACTCTGGATTCTAATTGGGCTCACCTGGTTTCCTGGCCCTCTCCTCCCACCCCCATCTCAATTTCTCCATCTGGAGACTAAAAACGTGGCCCATGTAAGAGGGGACAGACCCTCGCCCCTCTCCTTCCTCATGGATGCTGCTGCCCCAGCCCTGCCCACCTACCTAGAAGGTTGCTGGAGTGCAGGCAAGACATGGAATCTGAAAACAAGCATAATGTTGTCTTTTCCCAAAATGAAACAAGGGCCCGATTTGGTCTTGAGGACGCAACGCGACTGTCCCTTGGCGTCAGAGACCTTTTTCACACGTGCCGAAAGTCATAAAGGACAGCTATGACACGTGCACAGCATCGGGGCCCTGTTGTGCTCGGTGGAAATACCAGCAAACTGTAACCAGGGAGCCAGTGAGGGAGCTCGGGTAGGGGGGACAACGCCCAGTGGCAATGCAGGCTCACCTGGTAATAGCTGATCAGCTCCTCCAGCTCGTCCGCGTGGATGACGATGTGGAGGCCACATAACTGGGCCAGGCGGAACTCCTGTCCGTCCACACAGGCAAAGCACACCTGCAGGAGAGGAACAAAGGAGGCCCGTGGCTGCTTCTTCACAGCACTGCCCAACCCTGTTATGGACACAGCACACAGCCCCGCACCACGGCAGGGACCCCAGATTATTATTTATTATTAGAGCTCCCCCTCTGGAAAGAATGACGGTGGTTTGGGTAAAAGCTCGGGCCTCTACATTATTCTCAAAGTGGGATTCTGTGCCAGAAAATGACTCGTGAAATCACAGGCCTGGGAGAAAAAACAGAATGAAAAGAGCCAGAGCAACCCAGACCTGCTGGTGTGGGCCAGCAGGATAGCTCCCCAAACCTCCTGCCAAGGACAGACCTTGCCAAGCCTCAGCGACCCTGGAAGGACCTGACTTCTCCAATGACCTCGGCAAAGCAGAGAGGGAGCACGTGTGGGCCAGGGATGCAGCCTTCTGGATCTGGGGCCATGAAACCCGAGAGTGAGCCCGGCCTGGACGGGCCACCAGCAGGTCACTTTCCCTGGGGCAGCTGGCTCATCCAGAAGCTGGTGCGATTGCTCCTCACAGCCTGGCCCCGCAGAGCTCCTGCTAAGCCCAGAGACTGACTAAATCTGAGAGGAGCCGGGCCGACAGGGGTCTGTCAGACTGCGGAGTCAGCGTGCCCTCGTGCCATCCCCACCAGCGGTTCTCCGAGGAGACCCAGTTGTCACTAAAGACTTCTGGCAGACTAGATCCCTCTGGCCCACTGACACGTTGGGGGAGGCAGGTCAGACACGTGGATGAAGGTGAAGGAAGCTGCCCTGGCTTAGCTGGCGGTGGATGTTACCGTGATTGTGAAAATAGCTGAGAATGTAAAAGTGGTCGATGGGGCACAAGTGGCCCGACGAGACAAATGGGAGACCAACCATTTCTATCGTCGGGGTGGCCGGGATTCGAGGTGTTACCTCCTTCCAGGTCCTGGTGCTGTTGGCCTTGCGACTGCTGTCCACTGCGGCCTGATACTCGCCCAGATGCACCAGGGTAGATGCCAGGCGGGCAAAATTGGACACGTTACTGTAGAGCAGCTTGGCGGCCTCATACATGGCCTCGTCATAGCAGCGGTCGCCGACCTAAAGAGATGCCCTGGTTACTTCCATGCAGCAGGGGCACATCTGGTCCTTGGGGACCCAGCGCAAGACTCAAGTCAAGCCCCCGGGCACATATACACACAAACCGCACAGGCAGCGATGGGGGAGACACTGAGGACGGAGGCCTCAGGGGTCCACAGCCAGCCTAGTAAACTCTCCCGCGGCAGCAGAGGGACCTTCTCTGGCACTTGACAGAATGAGTCCTACAGCCTGAATCACCCCTCCAAGTGGGGCTGCTCTCCAGAGCTCCCCCTGTGCCCTCAGAAAGCATCTGGAGTCACCAGAGAGCTCTCGAGGCAGGGGCATGAAGGGTGGGCCAGGCGGTGAGATGGGCTGCCTGGGGAAGCCCTTCTGGCCATGGACACAGTTTGGACTCAAAGAACTGAAAAGATACCAGTGACAAGCAATCTGACTTGTGCCCTATGAAGAAAATACACTTCGTATTATTAAGGGTGACCAAGAGTATGCTACCATTGCCCTCCTCGCCCCCAAATCGAGGGCCCATCTGGTCTATCAAACAACAGGACAAAAGCCTTTGGGGCAGTGGCCTCACCCGGAGCTATGCCCACGGAGGAGCAGACGCCAGGATTCATTCTCTGACATGGCAGGAAAGCAGAGGGGAGCTGAGGGGAGCCCCTCCGTGGAGCCCGGCCCACTTCTTTTTAGTGCACAGGGAGCATTTCTTCACACAGGGATTGAATACTTAGTGTGGGGAGCCCTGGGGAGATGCCAAGATGTGGAGGGCGGTCCCCAGAGCTGCGGTGGGAGACAGGACTATGCTGACGCTCTTTGGGTTGCCAGTCCTAGCTTGAAGGAGTCTTAGAGATCTAGGGGTACGTATTCCCTTTACAGAAAAGGAAGTTGAGGCCAGAGAGTCCAGAAAAGCTCAGACTAGACACAGGTGCTCTGAGCCTCAGCACTGGGCCAGGGCATCTGCTGAGGTGAGTAATTAAAGGGGCAGGAACGTATGGTAGGGACACGACGTTAGAGGCCAAAGGCCAGTCCAAAAAGGCTTGGACAAAGGTCAGGGCAATGACCAATCTGGACGTGAGAGGACTCGAGTCCTTCCCCTCTGCAGAGGTGGAGACCACAGGTGCAGAGTGGGGCAAACACTGTCGGAAGGGGAGGCTGTGCGGGTCTGTTTTGTCAAATGACCCTTTCATACAACGCAGGCTTCTCTTTGGGGTGGCGAGCTGCATCCCCCTACTGCATTCAATCCAATTCTTTCTCGTTCCCCTCATTTCAAACACCGGGCCTCCTCTGTTAGCTCTCTTCCCGCCTCCCCCTGGCCCTCTGCTCACCCGTATTCCTCTCGGAGCAGTCCAGACCACATCACACTCCAATTAAGGAGCGCCCCCTGCTGAGAACAAACCTCGATGACCTGACCTCCCCTGGTTCATGGGGCCCTACGGGCCTTTCTTAATCCTTCTCCAGCCCCCAGTACAGAGACCCAAGGCCTTCTGGGGACTGGGCAGGGCAGAGCCTCTATTCCTGGAGCAGCACCTTTGCTGTGGGCAGGGAATGCCGTCCCCTTCCTCAAATTTACTGGGAGCCCTAATAGGGAACACGGGGACTGTCTACAGATGCTGTCAGGAGAGCTGGGCTCCCTCTTCCCAAAGGGACTTTCTGTACAAAAACAAACAAAACTGCTGAGGAAAAGGTAAGAAGAGTAAACCAAAGGTCCACAACAGGCAACATGGCCCCACGGCCAGCAGGGGGCAGAAGCAGGACCTGGAGGCCCGCGGGGGCTGTGGTCAGAGCTCTGGGCTGGGCCTTCGACCATCCTCAACTTTCCTGTTCTCTTCCTGGGCCGGACCACGCATCCACAGCAAGGGCAGGGAGCCCTGCAGGCCACGTTTGGGTCCCCAAATGGTCAGCCGTCTTGGTACTTAAAGCAAGGCTAAGGCGCTGGCTTATTTTCAGTATGCTGCAATGGGAGAGACACCCTGCTCTGGGAGAAGGTTCACTGGGTGAGGACCGCAGGGGAAGAGATCTCCTCCTGACCGTCAGAGGGACTCACTGGCGTCACTCAGCCACATGAAGGGGCTGGTGACTGTGTATGCGCACACTCAGAGAAAGGGCAAGCTCTTCGTTACTGAAGGACAGCTTAGAGAGCCTGGGAGACGGGGACGTACACAGCCCTGGCTGTCTCTCCCTCTCAGCTGTGGGGGGTGGTTGGAAGGACCAGACAATGGGGCAGAGTCCTGGCCTTGTGGCTCTGTTGCCACCGAAAAGCAGGAGCCCCGGGCAGCTCACTTACTGCCCCACGAATCCTGGAACCACCTTCCATGTTGGGGAAGGACAAATTATAAGAGATAGAGAAGAAAGAAAATTCGCCATTGTCATTTTGAAGGAGGACAGTATTACCCAGCACCTACCTGCTGGATGTGGGCATTGTTGGGTCCATTGATAAACTCCTCCAGCTCAGAGAGGCGGTTTGTTTTAGCCAGAGCAAAAATAAGCTCAGTCTCTACATAGGACTCTCGGGCCTTTTTCCTGGCCATGTGTAAAAATTTAACCAGATCTTCCCAATTACCTACAGAAAGAAACACGCAATGTAACCCATGGCTGGAAATTTGGCAGGCCTTGGTTCCCATCTGTGGCCTAGCAGCCTGGACTATATGGGCAAGCCGGGGTTCAGACAAGGGGACTTCAATGTCTTATGGAGGCTGGGCATTATACTCTGGAAGCTGGCCAGCCCACGAACAGGTAAGGACGGAGTAGGACGGGGCACGAACCTGCTCGTACTGCTGGCTGGGCCATCAGGGTAAGTCTCTGAACCAGAGAGAAGCAGCCAAGTGTAGCCAGCGGTCAGAGGGAACAGTGATCAAATGTCACAAACAACAACGTTCCTAAGGAACCACAGCTCATAAGCACGGAGCTCTGGAGGTGCGCAGCCGTCTGCATCCATGGTGCAGGACGTGCCTGGAGAGGAACCTTCCTGACCAATGGAGCCGGAGACACACCGTGACTCACCCAAGGTCATGAGGCCACTCTAGACCCCCTGGCCTCCTCTGACCACTCGCCCACGCTGCCTCTTCTAAAGAAGCAGGCCGCTAGGAAATCCAGAAAGAGCGGGCCTGGGTTCTCAGAGCTCTGCCAATACTGTTCATTTTCGCCGGGTGACAAAAAGCTAAAAAGGATGCGAACAGGGCCCAGTAACAGACTCTTGTTACAGAAGGCTGGCCAACCTCTGGAACCCAGAAGAGATGAGGAGAGGTTCCAGCCTGTGGCATGGCAGAAATGACCGCACGGATGATGCCAGGTAAGTGTCTGCCACGCCACGGACAGGAGACTAACGGGTTTCGCGGTCCCTGCCTGGTGACGCTCCCTCCAATCCTCTTCTGTGTCTAAATCCACCCTCCCGTGAAGGGGCGCCACATACGCAGGTGCCCCTGGACTCCTTTCGGCCCATGCTCATTGGCCACGACGTCCACGGCGGAGCAGGGGACGGCGATGCCCCGAGGCGGGCAGCTCACTCACTGTTTCTGTCGGCAGCCTCAACGACTTCCAGGTAAGAGGAGGGGTCGTCCGCCTTGGTGTACGAGTCAATCGCCTCTCTCACCAAGTCCTTCTGCAGCTGGGCCCGGGCCAGCCGGCTCCACACTGCCGGTTCATTGCATCTTTCTGCAAATTCATACGCACGATCCAGGTTCCCAACGTGTTCTATCAGGACCTGTAAGTTGGGAGAATGGAAGGTAATCTGCTGTAACCCTAGGGGATCAACGTCAACAAGCCAGTGAGGGCACCTTCAGATGAAAAATTCAATTCACAATTTAATTGTCTCTGAGCAATTCTGTACTTCTTGAAACAGGAATCTCCCTGTCTGCTCCCCCAAAGCATCCTTAAGGTCCAACAGAAGAACCTGGGCTGGGGCCGGGGCCCAGCCGCTCCCGGGAGCGTCTACCTCCTGAGCCCAGCTGCTGGTGTAAAGTCTTGGCTGAGGGCCCTGTGGCTCTGGACCGGCCGAGCAGCCAGACTCCACACGGGGAGACCCTGTGTCTCCCCGGCGGTCCGGAGCCTTGCTGCCAGGGTGGTGGCTTCCTGCCATTTTGCCGAGTGCAGCCCTTACTGTTATCCTTAAAGACTTCATTAATAGGTGCTTGTGGTTTAAGGACTTTGGAAAAATTGTGTCTCTGCTTCATGCAAATGAGACACAGAGTTGTTCATTTCAACTTGACTCAATAGGGAACATTTAAAAATCTTATTACGTGAGTGATGAGAAAACTAGGCTTATAAAAATATTTGTTATTCGCCAAAAGAATCTTCTTCGGGTAAAAGTAACAAAAATGCTACCCAGCCCTGATAACGCAGGTAGTATTTCCAAGTGTGTAATCAAATGAGCACCTTAAGGTTTCACAACAAAACTTTGCTGGTGGTGGTGAGAGGGGCCTCCTTCTGGCTGTTTTAAATCTGCATGCAGCGATGGTGAGTGGGGCTCTCCCTCTCACCCCCTCGTGGCTAAGGAGCCGCTGGGCATCTGCGTCAAGTCCCTGAAGCCGGGTGACAGTGCCGGCCTACCCTGGCCTCATCCCCTGTGCCTCCTGGGCCCCCCTCACCCTCCGGGCCCCTCACCACTTTTCCCTGCATAGACTCAGGCTGTGGCTCTCTGGCAGACGCCCCTCCTGGGCCGTCCTGCACACAGGGAAGGCTAGTGACACCAGGGAGCAGTGGACCTCACCTGAATGGCCGACGTATTCACATCAAACTTCCTAAAGATGGCGAATGCCTCCTCGTACAGCTCATTGCTGATGGCGATGTTGGCGATGTCTGGGGCATCATAGTTATCCAGTCGGTTAATGTACTCCATCACCCGTGTGCGGTCAGCCTTGATGGCAGTCAGAATCAGCAGATTCTGCAGGTTCCTGAGGAAGAATTGACCAATGGGAGGGTCAAGGTCCTTTCTGGAGGACGCTGGGATTCGAGGCCAGGACTGTCACTTACAAAAGGTTCTTAAGATGCAGACAAATCCTTGTCATCGCTAAGGATCCGGCCCACCCCCAGCCATCACGTGCTGGACCCTGTGAGAAACCTAAAGAAAACCTGGCCCTGCTCCTGGTCAAGTAAAGGAGGGCGGCGGCGGGACAAAGAGTTAGGCTGCTGGGTCATACAATCTGTGTGAATCCATGTGTGCGTCGTGGCTCATTACAGATGCGGTCGTGTGGGGAGCCGCTAAGAATGTCTGTGCTACAAGGGAAACTGAGGAAGGCTCCATGGAGGAGGCAGCACTATCTGAAGCAGGTCATGGACAACGGGAAGAGCTGAAGAGGCGGAAGCAAGGGGGCCTCTCTGGGGAAGCGGAGCAGAGAAGGGCACAGAGACAAGCCTGTATGAGACCTGGTAGCACACCTGGCATAGGAGAGCAGACTGCTCCATGCAGCAGCTTCAGGAAGACACAGGTGCCATCTTTGCCCATGGAAGACTAAGATAGCAGCGGTGAGACCACCAGCTTAGAGGCGAGACTGCCATCACAAGTTCTCAGTCTCTGCACCCTCAACCCCTTTATGACGTGGTCTCCAGCACCTCTCTCCCTGCTCCAGGCTGCAGTCCTCCTAAGGGCTTTGGGGAGAGGCTCTGCACCAGGATGGGGTGGGCACAGAGGCGTAACAAGTGCCTGCCAGCTGGTTCCTTGTGGTCAAAACCGTCCCCCGAGTCCCGAGCATTCTGGGGCCTCCCTCCGATTCCAAGGACACTCGAAAGGAATCACACCAGACAGCCCACCTCCAGCACCCACGCAGATGCCCACACATCTGGGCTAAGATTTACATCCCCTCCATCCAAACTATCAGGCGCGTGATGAGCCACAGAGCAGACAAGAGCTGGGCCAGAGAGCTAGTCCCTGGACACCGGCACATCCTCACTGCGGATGTGAACACGTCTCCCGCTCCCCAGGGTGCTCAGCAGCACGCCAAGGGCTGCGGGCAGGGAGCACCACCACATCAAGACACGACCCCTGCCCTGAGGAAACTCCATGTGGAGGGAATGAATGCTCCAGCCTCAAAGGCTGGATACTAGGAAGCGGGGTCAGAGAGGACAGCTGGGCTCTGGAAAGCCCAAGGAAGGCTTCCTGGAAGAGGTGGCCTTGACTACCAGGCAGGATCTGGGGAGGAGGGAAGCAGCATCCTGAGGGATGGCCGGGGGCCAGGGCAGGGGCAGTTAACCATCTCACCTGTGCTCACTGAACACAGAGTTGTCCAGCACAATTTTCTCAAGGAGCTCGATCAGCTCGCTGGGCAGGTCGGCAGTCATAAAAGCTTTCACGGTCACAGAGACCTCTTCGGGATCCTGGGTTTCAGACAAAGCGGTCTGCACCACCTAGTTTTAAACGACATTTGATTAGATTAAAACAGACAACTCACGGATGGCCAGAGCTGGCAGGACTCAGCAGAGGGCAGGGGAGAGGGAAGGCCAGCCCAGAGACCAGGGGACAGCCACAGACCCATGCGCTCACGCCTTCAGGCTCACAAAACACTTTCCTACTAATAACACTGCGATGGAAATGGGGTGTGTGTGTGTCTTCCAGCGGGCCTTCAGTGTTGAGGAGAAGAGAGAACACAGCAATGGCTCCATGGGTTAAGGAGCCAGGCAGCATCAGCATCACTGCTGTCATGTTGGAGTGGGCCTCGAAGGCCATCTGAATCCAGCTGAGGCATGGAGAGCAATTCCACATCATGCTGCAGGAGGGGACGTTTGGCTGCAGTGGGAGTCCAGCCAGGACACCGGCTGCCTCCCTCGCAGCCCGTGCCACAGTGGGAAGGCTCTAACAGTCACACTCAGGCCAGCTCCCAACTCTGCCATCAGTGGACAACTCTCATCCCCTTCTCCCACCCCCCACTCTGCCTCAAATCCTTTTTTCCCCTCAGTTGAACACTCCCAGATCCTCTACTTTCCCAGGCCATCCTGGTCTTCCCCTGCAGAAGCTAGTGGAGCACAGAGCTCCTTTACAGGCTGACTCTCTCTCTCCTTTATGAGGCAGGCAGGTCAAAGAAGGTCATTCCAACTACCCAGAAGAATTTGTGGTTGCGAGGCGGTGGAGGGTCTGGCCTAGAGAACCACAGCTAGCTGGCCGCAGAGGCAGGACACCATGTCATGTCCCTCACAAAGACTTCAGAGAAGACTGAACGTGATTATTGAGCAGAATTCCCAGAATCACTGATTTTCACTGCTGGGCACACCTGTATACCAACAGAGATGGAACGGGCCCATCTATTCCCCCGAGCCCAAAGGCATTTGATATGTGAATCCTAGAATTGTTTTTTAAAATTCCATTTTAGGAATGGAGACTGGCCAACCCCATTCAACAGCAGCCTGGAGAAGCAACCCCATTAAGCTCCAAGTCCACGCGACCTCACTGAATCGAGATTTTAGATGCACCATCCCTCCATTCTGTCTGAAGATGGCCAACCTACAGAACAGCGGTTTGGTTGGAGATTGCCACCACTCCCTTTGGCGTGCCCAACCAGCTCAGACAGCGATTAAAAGCTTAGCTCTGAGAAGTCACCCTGCACCGGTCAGAATCAGAGCCTTTAACCTGACCCAGCTGCGTTCTCCAGGGAGGGGAGGCCAGGCAGAATCCGCAGGCCAGGCACAGTCGGGTGGCGCTCCAGTTACTAAATGAGCACTGCCACATTTGCAGCCTCGGTGGGCTCTCACAGGCAGCCGGGGAGGTAGGAGGATGACGGAGACAAAGCACGCTAATGTGCCAGCTCTGATGCCCCTTTACGCTGAGCTAGCTTCGCAGGCAGCACAGACCTCCAGTGCTTTCCCAACGCTCCACGGGGCATTTTTTTTTTTTCAGGAGGAATCCAGGTCAGTAATAGGAGATGGGGAAGAAAGAAGGGAAGATGGCACTTCAATGATTTCTCTAGAGTTCTCCGGGCAACCGTCAAGAAACCCTCTCCTATTCTATCTAAAAATGGGGCCGGTCTCTGGGACGATCCACCTCCAGTTAGCTGTGGTTCCAGGGCCCAACACGGAGGGTCATAACACTAAGTAAAGCTGGTCCAATGTGGAGTATCTCAGAATCTGGAGACTGAGAGCTGGGAGGCATCTGAAAGACTGGCCTGGTTCCACCAAGCCAAAGCCAATCGAGGCCAAGCCGTTTGGTCAAGTTTATACGAGAAGTGAGAGAGCCACGATCCCCAAACCCAGGTGTCTTGACTCACAATAGCCACTGATACACTTTCCCAAGGGATTTAATACTTCTTAGGTGACAAACCTGGCAGGCTCCTGCCTCAGGAATGTTTATAAAGTAAGGGAGAACATATAAGAGCCGTCTGAAGAAACCTTCAAAGAAAGAAACCACCCAAGTACCAAGGAGAATGAGGCTAATGGGAGCGCTGCTGACGTGAGAGGAAGGTCTGCTCACAGCTGGACGGACTACAAAGGGAGGGACGAGCAGCCGGAATAATAAGGCCTCCCCTGGCTTTCCACTAATGAAGGCTCCTCATGACTACTTGAGCATCTCAGATGAAAGATCCAGAGCAGCTGACATGATTTCGAGTTATTTTAAGAGGAGAAAACACGGGAAGGTCAGCCTGGTCAAGAGGCGCCTTGTGTCTGTGGCGGATTTCCTTTCGATGCTATGTCCTGGGATCCACACTCACGGGCCACCATCGATGATGGCTGCCTCACTGGAGGAGACGCTGAAGAAATGGGACGAAGCCTCCGGGAGGCCGAGAAGCTGGAGAAAGAGGGGCTTTTGAGCAGGCATTTAAAGCGCAGACAACCCAAGAATGAGGATGGCCATGTCCTAGCTTCCATTTTCTCTAGTCTTCCTCATTTTCCTTAAAGCAAGGAGAATGCTTAAGAGAGCTGTTCACTGTCTCATGCTGATCTGGATGAAAATACTTTTTCCCACACTAAATGACTACTCCTAAAGTGCTGCCGGATCAACTAGAAGGAGGTCTCCAGTGGAGTGCCGCTGAGCTCCGCAGGACTCAGCAAGGTCAATGATTGATGACATCACAAAGGCAGCCGATTAGGGAAACAACTGATCCTGATAGAGTAGAACACTGCCTGAAAATCATGGTGGACCTCCACAGGAATAAATGGGGTCTTATTCTCTGGTCACAAATCCCACCTGAACAGGACAAGGAAGAGGTGGCTTGGCAGAAAAAAGGGCCCCAGTCACCCCCAGTCTTTTCTTACTCCACCCTCTGTGCCAGGCACTGGGCTGGGCACCAGGGACAGGAACATGGAAATGAACCACTCTCGGCCTTCAAGGAGTGACATTTTTCCACAGAAACAAGGGATACACATGAGCAAACCCAAAAGCTATTTGAAGTCAGGGCCCTTCTGGGACAAGCTCTGGGGGAGGAGCCCCAAACCCAGGTGCACAACTGCAGTACTGGCCTCACAGCACGTGGAAGCCTGGGCTCCATTCTGAGGAGATTCCATGGGGCAGAGGGTCCAGCTGAAGGAATGGGCACTCGGTGCTCAGGGTCTGGGCCCCAGCACTTTGAGGAACAAACACGAAGGGCTCTGCTTGGCCTTCGAAGCCCTCCACAACCGGTCTCCTCCTCCCGTTCCAGCTTTCTCACACCCAAGTCCCCACCCTGGCCTCTTCGACCCAGTGCCCTGGCCTCCATCTCTTGGCTCTGGGCATTTCCTTTGGAAATTGTTTCATTCTCACTGGGTCAGCCCCAACTCCTTCCTCTGGCTGTCCCTCGTGCCTGGAACACTCCTCTGCTCTGTCTACTGACCTTTCCAGCTTCCTTCAAGTCCCTCCTCAAATCCCACCGTGTACAGGAAGGCTTCCCCAACCCTCTGAATTCTGGTGCCTTCCCTCAGTTCATTCATCTCCTATCTCTCTGGTACGGAGCTTGCTTTGTATGTATCTGTTTATACACTGTCTCCCCCACTTGACTGTGAGCTCCTGAAGGGCAGTGCACCTGGCATGTGGCAGGCACCTAATACCTGCTTACGGACTGACGTGCTTGCAGTCCTGCTGCAGGACAGAGCTGTCTGAGGAAGAACCCACATCCAGGCTCCTAAGTGGTCAGTGGCCTCAAATCAGACAAGCTGGCATCCAATGGAACTTTTCAAAGCCAGGCGCCTGCGGCTGTCCTCTACACCACTATGCCATCAAGAACCACTCCCACACAGTACCTGATCAATGAGCTGTCTCCTGAACGGGTTGTTTTCCTCCAGGACATTTGCCCAGAGTTCTGGATCTTTTCTGTGTACCAGGTAACGAGCTTCACTTTTGAACAGAGAATTCTCATTACAAACCTGAAAGGAGCAAAAGTCGCACTCAGAACCTCTTGCTCTGCTGGCCATATGAAAACCCTCTGCCCAACACCCTGTTGTTCCCAAGGACACCGTAGTCATCAAGCGCCGCCCTGCCCCCAACACCTTTCAGGGGACCCCAGTGGGAGAGGGGAAAAAAGCAATGTGCTAGGTCAGCCATATTATACCATAAAATTGTTCTCCCAGAAGTTGTTTGATTCTCTCGGGGATGATTAATATCAGAAACTTTTATTTTTTTTTTAAAAGAAAAATCAAAACTCAAGTTGCTAAGTAACCACCACCCCTACCCCTACCCTTCAATTCCACGCACTTACCCACCCCCTATCTAAACGGAGGGAAACCTTTATTCTATCTGAACAGTGCTGGAGGTGGTCTAGAACTGGAAAGGCCTGACAGAGTTTTAAAAAGTGCTCTGAATCATTCTAAGCAGTAGCTCTCAAGTCAGCAAGAAAGGGGCCAACAGGAAGGCGTGAGTCTTACACCAATACAGAAAATCAGCACACAGTAGGCACTTCATAAATGCCAGTTGACTAAGCGACCCGGGACATGGGAGCGCAAGGCGAGGTACTGGCAGGCGTACCTAGGACCGCAGCCTTGGCATGAAAAAGCACATGCCTGGGCAGGGGCTCTGAACCAGAGCCCCCACTGTCTGGCTGGACCTTGGAGTCTTTTTTCTCCATGAAAATGAACTTATCTTCAAGCTAGGTCCATCGCTTCAGAGATTCACAGAAATGAAAAAAAGGCTTGCCTAAACCACAGGGATGCTTTTCAAAGCTTACAGGCTCAAAGAGAGATCAGGTAGATCTGTCTCCTCAAAGGGTCAAATTGCCCTATTCAAGCCTCTTCCATGTGCCTACTGTGGCCTGCACTGACAGTGCCAGAGCCAGCCAGGGAAAGCCCCCTCTCTGAACCAAGGTCCCTCTAAATCAGCACTTCAAATCAGAGCGGGCGAGGACACCCAACACATGGAATGGGGGGAAGCTGGGGCAGGAGTCACCAGCTGAAGTCACCAAGTGTCATGGTAAATGGAAAGCAAAGTTCTATTGATAGCCAAGCGGCAAGATAAAACCCTCCGTGGGCACCATCCAGTGTGATGGTGAAGCCCCCCCCCCAGTAGCCCAAGAGGCAGGACCCCCCCACAGCCCAACCCCAGGGCCCCTTACAAGTAAACACTGTCAAATAAAGTCTAAGAGATGAAAAGCAACAGCTGCTAACCTGAATGAGCTCGAGGTCACACTGCCCCCTCTCATAGGCAACACAGGCCAAATGCGGGTCCCGCTTTTCACAGTATTTACCTACAACACGGCTGTCATAGTAGGGATTCTCGCGGAGGAAGCGCTCGGGGTTATTGTTACTGTCGATATAGATCTTGGCCAGGGCATTGTGGGTGGCCGGCTCTTCACAGCCTTCGTGGACTCGGGATTCCAGCCAAGGAAGAAGCAGCTTTAGCCTTCGGTTAGGAAAAGAAACATCACTACACTGACATTCCCACAGCTGTCACCCGGCATCTCCAGAGGAAGCCGGGGCTTTCTCAAAAGTGTTCCTGACACTCACTGAGGCAGCGGAGCCTCGGAGCTGAAATGGCCCTCGTGCCCAGTACTGGTGGCTCAGTGCCGGGAGTCGTGGCCGCTCTGAGCTCAGCCCCAGGGCCTTGAGTATTAACATCCATAGGATGCGCCTGGGCCTCCCGGGAGGAGCAGACAGGGCCACAAACGCACGCATGCAGCGATGCGGGGGACAGGCAAGTGGGTGAGGACACTCTCTCAAAGAAGAAAACGGGAAATACCAAGAAACAGGGGAAGACTTCTGGCCAGTGGAAAACGCACACACAGACAGCAACACAAAAACAGGAACACACACACAGAAGCGGCGGGTGCTGTCACCCTGGGGACGTTCCCACTCCAGCCTGCAGACCAACGTGAACTTTGTGACCAGGTTCCCGAGGCGCGAGAACAAAGAGAGCCATTACCTGTTCCTTTTCTCCACCTCAGCCACCAAGTCCTCAGTGGAGAACTGTCCTCTCACCACCATGATTAAGTTTTTAATGACGTCCTCGGAACAATCCACATCAAGCAGCCCTCCGACCACGGCAGGGATGCGGCTGGGGTTGACCTGCCACGAGACCCTCCGTCAGCTCAGTGGCGCGGGCGTCCCGCATCATTGCCTCCGAGAGAGCGCCGGCACTAACGGACTCCTCTCAATCCTTCCCTGTGGGGCGATGGCCCACACACATCCCAAAGGACAATGGAGCAGGCAGACAGCCCTCTGGGGACCTGGCTTCTCCCTTCCCACCAAGGCCTGTGGTGCTGGAATGGATCTCTGACTGCGTCGCGCCAAGACCCTGAGAGCTGCTGTGGCCTGACCAGGTCACCAGGGAACCCCCTCCGGCCTCCAGCCTGCCAGGCCTCATGCCAAAGGGTGACTCTGCCCAGCATGCGCTTTGCCAAGCTAGGGAAGGGGCCCCACCACCTACCACAAGGCCCAGGAGAAGAACTTTACCTTCTGAACATAGATTTCAATGTACTTCTGTAGGTTGTTGCGGTATAAATACAGAACTAGGTCATGAACAAAGTCAAATCTGTCGCAAACAATAATCAAGGGCAGTTGATCTGTAAGCTTGGCCTCCTAGAAAGGGGAGAAGAAAGGATGTATCAGCGTCACCCTCCAGGGGGGAGCGTGTGACTAATCACAAGAAAGCGGCACGGAAAGAGACCTGGGCTTTGCCCTGCCTAAAGAAGCCCTGTCCTGTGACAGGGCAGACTTCCTTTCTGTTCAGTGCTATCAGCCTCATTTCAGACCCTCTTCCTCAGCTCTCCCCGGCCCTCCCCAGGGAGCCGGGCTGTTCACAAAACTTGGTCTTTGCTTAACCTGGGCTTTGGTTCCTGGAGCCGAGTTTGGGGGATTGTTTTGTGCGCCAGAACTAAGAGAGAGAGAGCAACCCAGCACAAAGAGGCCCCACGCCCACTGAGCCTGGCAGCACCTGCAGTAGGCCTGGCTCCTCTGAAAAGCAGGACTTGGAAAGAACCCCACCCCCGACCCCCTCCACTCAATGTGGAAAGGAAATTCCAGTTTCAATCTGTCCTCTCTGCCAAAACCTAACATTCTTTGAATTGAAACACTCTTTGAGGAACAGACTCTCGTCCAGTGGCACGAAGGCTGGTTCTCGATGCACTTGCCTGGGCCCAGATCACCACGCCCGAGGCTGGCGCCACACTGCAGCTCTGAAGCCGCCCACCCACTCCCGTCCAGTGGCCACCCTCTGAGAAATGCCTCCAAGAGAATCCCTTGCAGGGGCCCAAAGCCTCGTGGGAAGGCCTCCTGGGACGGGCAGGGCACCACTGGACTTTTCAACAGTTCTGTCCTCACTGGGACAGCTAACTGGATTTCTATCGGGCCATCCAGGTTGAGGATTTACCACCAACCACTTGTGAAATCTTAAAGACACTTTGGGTTATTTTTTGGTTAGACCATAAACCAAGGAAGCTGTTTATTTTTTAATAGCTAAACTTTACCATCTCACTCGTTCACAAACAGAAAAATGGGGCAGCAATGCAAACATAAGACTTCCTCTTTTAAAAGCACCCTGAGGCAATGCTGGAATCCCTACTTCTGGGTCTATACAAGGGATGGGGAATGGACCTGTCATTCCACTGACACAGGGAAATCCCAGGTGAGGAAGCTCCTTCTCCCAATGCCGCTGCGCACATCTCTCTCTGAGTCGCTGAGTGGCCCCGAGCTTAAGGGATCTGCCCGGTCACCCTGCCTTGGACGCCGACAGGTCATCTCCTGCCTTCCCCAATGAGGTCTGCGTGCGGGTCACAGTATCTCCTCATCCTTCTAACCCCTTCAGCACTCATTTCCTATCACCTTCTCCTCCACCCCACCAGAGCCACGTGGAGAGAAGGGATCTGCCACCCTACCTGTGTCCTCACCATGACCTCTGGGCCCCTTCGCCCTCTCCCGGGCCGTCACCCCTGCACTGTCTACGCTCTCCTTCCTTATCTTGGCCCCTCAGAGAACTGCTTCAGCTCGCTATGTCCTCTGGCCCTCTTGTCCCATCACCATCACACCTTTCAAGCTAGAACCTTGGATTATTTTCCAAATCTGCTGCCTTGACTCCTGTTCTCCTGCTACTGAACAGGGCTAGAGAAATAGCACAAAACCACGCTAGGTCAGTCCACGACAGATTCATGTTGCATAATCTCAAGCGGGCCCTCACTATGTCAGAGTAATCCTTGCCCCCTCCTCGACTGACCTGCTGGCCGGCCTACCCTGCTCACCACAACGGCGCTTTACTGCCCCAAGCCCCGATGCTGCCCCTGGCCCAGAGCGCCCTCCTCTCCTCCCTCCTCCTTCCATGGCGCTCAGCTCACTTCCCTCACCACGTCCTTCTCCACCCATCTGACACGGCACAGTCAGGGATTCTGCCCCATCCCGTCCCCTCGAGCAGACTGCCCCCCACCCCCGTCTGTCAGCTGTTTACCTGCTGCCTACAAACCTGCCCATGTCGCCCCCATCCTAAAACCTTCACTTGGTCTTTCCGTCTCTTCTAACTATCGTCCTGTTTCTCTTCCGCCCTTGGGGCTAAACTCCTCCAAAAGGCGTCTGCAACAGGGGTCCCCACTCTCTCCTCTCTTCTTCACCCCCTTCTCATTACCCTGAATGCTCTCTCCAGAATGACCGGTGATCTCTCATCTCTTAGCTGCCAAAGACAAGGGCCTTTTCTCCCTCCTCATCCTTACTGACCTCTCTGCAGCCTGGGCCCCTCAGGATCACCCTCTTCCTGGCTGTCCCTTGGTTTTTCTCCTCCCCAATCTGACTGCTCCACCCCTCTGTCCTTTGCTGGTTCCTTATCCAGGTCATGTCTGCTTATAGGGGGCGCCCCCCAAGCCTCTGTCCTGGGCCCCCTTCTCTTCTCCCATCATACCAGGGGCTCTTAACATGGCAAAGACTACGAATCTCATCTCAGAATGTTTATAAATGCATAAAATAAAATACACAAGATTGCCAAGGAACCAAATTTATCAAACAACTGTCAAAAAAACCAAGTTCCTGGACCCCTAGGTAAGAAGTCCGGCTCCCCACCAACTCCCTTGGGTTCAATCCTCAGCTTTATGCAGATGACTCTGAGATCATCCGCCCAGCCCCAACCTCTCTGCTGACTGCCAAGTTTGTATCGCCAACTGCCCCTCACACATCTCAACCAGACAGCCCAAAGACATCAAAAACTCATCTTTCCTCCAAACCGGCTCCTCACTCCAGGGCACCATCGCTATCCCCCCAGTTATCTGGGCCAGCAAACTCAGCGACAGCTTCAGCTCCTCCCTCAAAGCACCCTCCCATGTCCAGGCCACTGCCAGTTCTTGTTCTGGCCTTCTCAGCCTCTCTGGAATCCGCCCCCTTCTCTCCTCTGACCCTGCCCTGACCCTGGTGCAGCCCTTCAGTCCCTCATACCTGGACACTGCAGCAGCTTCTGGAGGGTCTGTGGGCCTCCAGCCCACCCTCTGCTCAGCTGCCAAGGTATCTTGCTACAGTTCAGGTCCACCCAGATCACCCCCTTGCTCGAGAAGTCCCGGGGCCCCTGTAGCCGTCAGGATCAAACAGAAAACGCTCCTCTGACCCGTCAAGCCCTTCGTGACTTGGCCCCCTCCCACCCTTCCAGTCTTCTCACACTTCGCTCCATTATCAGTGATGCTGACTTTCGAGTGCCACCCACGGGAGATAGACTCTCTCTCCTGACTTGGTGACTTATCAATGGCTGTCCCCAGCCCTAGGACACTCTCCCTCCTCTGCTCCACCTCCCGGCCTGCCTGGCCAGTCCCGAGCTGGTGCCCTCCTAGAGGCTGCCTCCCGGTCACAAGACACAAACCTGTCTGCACGCTGTCCCCCCATTAGAATGGGAGCTCCTCGAGGGAAGGGACCTTTCTCTGTACCTCTCACATGGGAGCGCCTAATAAATCCTCACTGACTGCTCGTTGGCTCTGGACCCAGATTTCTAACTACACTGCATTTGCTTCTTAACTGTCTACCAACCAACAACATACATGAGGCAAATCCCAAAGGTCTCCTCTGCCCCAAGGCCACCAAGCTGAGAGTCCTGAGCGAGGGCTGCCTGCTCTGAGTGTGGGACATCGGAAGAACACGTCTCCTGCACGGCATAAGTCTCACAGACCGAACGCTAACGTGAACGCGGCCCGTGGGCACGGAGGGGCGGGGCTGTGCAGAGAAGGGCACTCACCTTGAGGAAGTTCTTCACTCGCTCTGCGTTATAGCAGTTGCTTTCTCGGCATATTCTTTCCACCTCCTTGATCTGCCCGGTCTTACAGGCTGCCTGAATATACTTGAAATGCACATCTGGATCCTGGCTGCAGTTGACGATTGAGCCCAGGAAGTAGAAGAGGCCTGGGGGGAGAGGCTGGGTTAGCAGGGGCTGAGGGGGAGTCCACGGAGCCCCACTGCTCAGCCACGTACGACCTCATGCTGCCGCAGCCGGAGACAGCTGACCCTGCCGAGCCGATGCAGCCGCGCACCCATCCGAGGCTCCTGCAGGCCCTCCCGGGGCCGCGTACCTGCCTGCTCAATGGGCACCTCGGTCCAGCGCGCGGGACCACTTGGCCGCGCTTCCCAGACGGCGGCCACTGAAGGTCACAGAAGGAGGAAGGGTTGACAGAGAAGGACGGTCTCCTTGTTTTAAAGCAGGGCTAATGCGTACTAGAAAATGGCAGGTATCTCAGAACAAGCTGGCAGCTGAGACCAACGCAAAAAGGTGAGAAACTCCAGAAATATCCCCACGAGAGAAGGGAGACATCTGCAGAGGAAGCCAGGGAGCGAGGGAGCCGGCCTTCTCCCTCCTTTTCAGCTCCTAGGATTTGATACTGCCTGAAGCACAAACCCCAGAAATAACCGACCGCGAAGCTGACGCTCACTTTGAAATTTGGTTTGGGGGCAGGACAAACAAGCACCGGAGCTGGGACCACTTAAAAACCTCACAATAACTCATCCAGTGAGGTCCCACCTCAACATCACAGCAGAAACAGCCAAGCGTAGTAATGTGTTACTACCATACGGTCATGCCACGACCAGTCCCCTCATTCCCGCTGGGTTAAGCAGAATGCTCTACCGCCCAGAAGGCAGCCGGTACGGGCTGGCGCAGTACCTTCATAACTCTTGAAGGACTCAAAGAGCTCCACGAGCGTCTGGGTGCCGAGCTGCTCGTGGTATTTGGAGGCCACCTGCACGCCCAGCTGAAGGTTCTGCCGGATGTTGGCAGACAGCATCGCTCGCAGGCACTCCACGGAGTCCTCCACCGACAGCGAGCCAAAGAAGTTCACGAGCCACTGAGGAAGAAAAGCCGACATGGTGAGACTCACCATGGAGCCTGGCACAGGAGGGACCATGTTGGAGCCTGACACGGTCCCCAAAACTGCGACACACACAAAGGGACCCCATTTCCTGACACGCATCGAAAACAGCGACGTTTCCCAAGACCTGAGACAGGAAAAGAAGATGGCGGGGGAAGCTGGGATCTCCAACCCTGCCCTGCTGGGGTCCTCCCTCAGGACCTCCCTCTGTTCTCTTTGTAGGGGGGCTTTCTAAATTACTAGTTTCTCTACTCCCCCCCAAAAAGCAACATGGAAGGTCCCCCTCAAAACAAGGAAGGAAAGTCACACAAAACAAATCTGCACCTCGAGCCCCCCCCAGTTCTCTGTCTAAAAGGAAGGCCTAGGGACAGCTAGGTGGTGCAGTGGATAGAGCACTGGCCCTGGATTCAGGAGGACCTGAGTTCAAATCCAGCCTCAGACACAAAACACTCACTAACTGTGTGACCCTGGGCAAGTCACTTAACCCCACTGCCTAGCAAAAAACAAAACAAAACAAAACCTAAAAGGAGGGCCTAGGTACACTTTGTCATCAGTCTCGGAGAGTTGTGATTGGTTATTGTGCTGATAATAGATTAAACAACACAGCCCTGTGGGAGAAATGAGTCCTTCCTATTTCAGGAGAACAGATCTAGACTTGTGGGCTGGTTCTCCAGCAGAGGGGACTTCCACACCTAGAACCACAAACCTGGTAAGTCAGCACAGATCAGAACCCAATAACGCTCCTGGCTTGGCACAGACAATGAGCTCTCTGCACTATTAGAGCCCTAAGGTTAAAGGCGATTTCAAGCTACCTATGGGCACTGCCACAAGACGCAGGCCCCACCATCTGTGGACAAAGCCCACCACCAAGAGAGCTGCCCATGAGTCAGCGGCAGAAGCAAGAAGCCATCCTGTACCTCGGGGTTCAGGAGGTGAGTGTGGACCACGGCGCGCTTGATGTCATACAGATCCGTGTAATGCTCCAGCGCTCGCTGCAGCAGGCCCGCCTTCTCACAGAGCTGGGCAATGTGGGCACGGTCATAGTGGGTAAACATCTGATTCCCAAGGATGGCATCTGCAACCTGTCACACCAAGAGGACAGAACCATTTTAACGAGAGGGTGAGGTCTGGCAACAGCTCCTGCATGCTGCTCTGTCTAACTCCGCGCAGTATGTCCCTGGCTCCGCGGTGCAGCCGTAAGCCTGCTTATGCTACGCTGGCTTAAACCGCACTTGGAGGTAGCGTCATTTTTAGCTTCTCGATGTGGCCCAGTCACTCGTGCTGGTAACAGTGACCTCACACCCGCCCAATCAGCAAAGATGGTAAGAACAAGAAAAATTCAACATTGTACGACTGTGGGAAGACAGACACTGCGATGCTAAGTTACCAACAGCTTCACCCGCTCAGGTAAAGAGTTCAGAAATATGGAAGAAAAGTGAATTCATTGCTCATGTCCTTTGGTCCCAAGAACTTACCACAATAAAACTAATTCTAGGAAGGTCAAGGTGAGCTGAGGCTGGGAAGGGAAGACAAAGGTGCACAGAAAAGCTTCTGTTTGTTTTTTAAAGAAGAAATTGGAGCTGGGCTGGGGGTGCACGGGTTAAATGAAAAAAAAAGAGAAAGCTCCATGACTCCATTCTCCTTTCATGCTCTCTTCTGGGCCCAGAGCAGCCTCTCTGTGGGAAGGACAACGGATAGTCAAGGGACAGCCCAGGAGAACGCCAGGGAGCACCAGTGGCCCTGGGTGAATTCAAGCTACCCGCTTGAGGGAACAACCCCGTTAGGTCCTGACAGACCTGGCCACTGGGACCGTTAATCCATGTTCAGAGACATTGGAAACTAAGGGCAGCGATGCCATAAGAGCAGAGGGCACCAAGCAGAACTGCGTGCTGGCTCAGTGGTCCCTGGGGTCCAGGAATCATCTAAGGGAACAGGACTTGTCTAGTTTTTAAGCATTAAAGCAAAGCTGAGACGTTCCTGGTGGTCCTGATGATATGGTGCAGGAACACAACCCAATCAGCCTCATTGACCATGACCCCACATAAATAAGGAAGGGCTGGATCAAGACGAAAAACACACATGGTTCACCCCCTTGTCTCCTGCCAGACAAGGAGCCACCTAAGCCCTGGTCAGCAGCAAGGACAGGACACGGAGCATGACTGCCCTCCGATGCTGGCCTGGACCGGCAAAGAGGAAGAGGGCCACGGCAGGGCTGGGCCAAAGGAGGGCAGAGGAACACAAATTCTCTTTCACTATAAGCCAGAGACCTGGTGTCCCTTTCTGGCCCCCTTGACAACGCCTTCACAGGTACTGTGAGTACTCTGCTGCTAAGGGGAGAAGGGCCCTGAGAAAAAGGGTGTCCAGAGGCCTCTGAGGTTCACCCCAAAGGGCCCAGACAGACGGACAGCCTTGAGCCCAGGAAGAGCAGGGAAGCTCTGCCATATTTCCCTTGTTCCTCTGTCACAAGCTGTGCCGCTGTGGGCCATGCCACTCCTCCTGAGTCCACAAGCAGCTGCCCGTGAAGATGCAGCACCAGGCACTCCCAAGCCACACCTGCGTAGGGGAGGGCACAATCCTACCTGTGGGGCGTGGATCAGGTTCATTTCCAGTAAGCGGGTCTGGAGCCGTCCTTCTGCAGGATGGTTGTTCTTCAAGGCATCCAACAGGAAAGACGTGCACTGCTGAATCAAGCTGTTCTCCATGAAGACGTCCACAATCTGCAAACACAGTCCCAAAACAAGGCTGTGATCACAGCTCTTTGCTTCCACCTAACCTAAGGGGCCACCTTCCCTTTCCCAGGGAGGGAGCTCCCCCTGCTGGGGCAGGTCAGCCCCTTCTCTGTCCCCTGGGGCACGCACGGGGGGAGGTGATTTGCCCAGCCACGATCACGCAGCCAGTCGGTGTCAGAAGTGGTATCTGAACCCAGATTTTCCTGGCTCTAACGCCTCCCATCTCCTGACACAGGGCCTTGTAAACACTCTCAAAACTACTGAAAGGGACTCTTTCTCCCTCTGGACAGCTGACAGATTTCTTGAGACCTAGTGCAATTTGACTGTCAGCACTTACATCAGCTGAACCTTCACTCCGAGGTTTGAACTTGGTCAGAATCTGCTCAATATACTGCCCACTGCACAAAAGGGGTCACCAAGGGCTACATTTTACTTTCCACAGACAAACTCCCCACAAGAGGACAGTCTTACACCTGCTCTAAGGCCAGGGACTATAACTGTCCAGGGTGGGGTCGCGGCCTATATTTTTAGCCCAATGATTACAGCTCCTAAATCCAGAGCTTTAAAAACACAGAATGTACACATGTTCAGCCGAAGACATGAAAAAATTATGTATTTAATCATCTCAGGGTCACTAAGTTAGACTCCATCCATTATTATGCGTGTTAGTATAAATCTATCAATATGGACCCTGCCTACATCCCTACCGTGAAACCTAAGTGATCATTTATGTGAAATCACACACTTCCCCATGAGACTGCAAAAACAAAGGCCAAGGCTACCTTGCTGAGGAACAAACTGCTTGTCCAAAATTAGCTAATGACCATCTGGAGTCAGGTGGTGCACTAACCGGTCCCTCGCCAACAGCTATGGGACCCTCTTCCAAGTGGTGCAGGGGAGGAGACACAAGCTTTGGGGAAGCCAACCAGCCCTACCTAACCACAGCTATACAAACCTGAGGGGTGAACCAGCTGTTGGTCCCAGGTGAACACTGAGGTGGGAGAAAAGATTACTGAATTCCCGCTGTGAGGGGAGGGGTACACAGGCTTAGCAGAGGAAAAAAGGGCACTCATGCAAACACCTACTGGCTTTCCTGGTACTCAGAGGAGGGCACAGAGGGCTGGGTTTGAAGTCAGGAAGACCCAAAGTCTTGAAATAGAATCATGACTAAAGGACAACCACCTTTTAAACTTAATGCCACTCGTGAAACAAAATGCAGGAGCCAATGGAAATTCAAGAGTCTAATAAAGCTACAAACCTGTGCCCTGAGGGCAGCTCCTCAGAGCCACCCCATGATTTCATCAGCACAGGGAATCTGACTGCTGGCTATTTGTTCTCTAGCAAAGCAGTCTGTCTGTGCTCTAACCAGCCACCAATTGTATTTCGAAGGTACAGCCTTTGAGACCCCAGGGTGCCTCTGCCCACAACGGATTGGGACTTGAACAAAAGATACTCTTTTCAGCCCACCCTCAAATAAAAGACTGAAGCCCTGATTCAGGGGTGCCCTGCTTTTTTTCAACAACTGGGTGAAAAGCTCTCCTGGTATATTAGATGTGTATTCAGGCTACTTAATGGGGTAGAAGTGAGGAGAGTCTAGGCATTAAAGACTATGACCTCTGAAGGCTTACCCAAGAGGCTTCACTTGGGCTTCTAGAGCTAAGTCAATGGGAAAATGTCAATTGGCAAAAAACTCTCAGACAACAGGGTCCTTAACCCAAGGCCTGCTGAACGGAAGTGCCCTAACTCTAGAGACTTTCTAGTTTTACTCAGAAGATACTCTTGCCAGTCAGGGTTGGCCCCGGGAGGTTACCCGAGGCGCTCCTTCGCTCACCTGGTTGACGCTGGCCAGCGGCTCCTCATCCTGCACCAGCATTTGAGCAAACTGCAGGCCCTGCTCTGGGCTGACCCTCATCACACTCCTCAGCAAGAGGATCCAGTCAGGCGTGTACGCGACCTGGAACAGACAGATGCCTTTCTCATTCACAGCGGGCTCACGGGCCACCACACAGCCACTGCCACACAACGCGGGGCACGGCTGAGAGCAAAGAGACCTGCAGTGGCAGCTGCCGTCCACCAGAGGGCACGGCTCACGCAGCATCCCCAAGAACTCGGAGTCATGGCGAGTTCTGCAGGACTCAGAGCCCCAGTCGCTCTCAACAGCCACTATGGAAATCTGGGGGCAGCGTCAGCAACAACGAAACTCAGATTCGGGGGAACAAAGCGCACAGCACCTGCCCTGCTAAATTCCTCTGCGTCGTGTCCTTCCTATTTTAGAAATTATTCTACATGGTGAGCCCCTCTGGGGTGAAAGCATGCAGGCCACGGGACTCCTCAGCTCTGATGCTGCCGGGACACCCCGAGCCCTGGGCGGCGGGCGGGGAAAACCACAGACCCTTCTCAGGACAGAGCTTTTAAATGCATGACATCATAGCAGACAGGGAGACAAAGGAAACCGACGATGCTGAAATACAGTGAAGTGTTTTTTAAAAGGAGCCCAAGGTTAAGAATCTCATTGGATACCTTGTTTCTCTCTCTCTCTCTTTTTTTGGCTAGGCAATGGGGTTAAGTGACTTGCCCAGGGTCACACAGCTAGTGTCAGTGCTCTATCCACTGCGAATATCTTATTTCTCTTTAATATGCTTGTGGCATCCAGCCCTTAACAAAGACTTCACTAAGCATAACCACGTTTCTCTCTAAGAAGAGAAGTCATGATGATTCTGTATCAGAAGCACAAGTATCGGAAGGCCTCCCAGGGCTGCCTAAGTTCTGGAGAGACAAATACAGGGAATGAAACGAGCCTGCTCTCCAACAGGAGACAGCAGGCTTGTGCTGACATAGATGTAAAAGAAATGCAGGCGAGTTAAGGTGGGGGGTGGGAAGGGTGGCAAAATCAGGAAAAGTTTCTGTGGGGAAGGTGTCTGTGAGCTGCAACTCAAAGGAAGTGAGGTGCCAGGATGACTGAGCAGACCTAGCTCACTCATTTCTGCCATCAGCAAACCAACCTCAAACAAGAGACTCTCTCAGCCGCGGCCAAATCCGAATCTGGAACTCCGGGGGATCCCAAATTATGACATTTAACGGTGGGGGAAATCACGGACTCGAGTCCGCAGAGGCCTGGGTTCTAAACCCTGGACATTCTCTGGGCCTCAACGCGAGGCACTACCTGTTCTTCCCTTGGCGCTAATCCAGAGGTCCCAACCGAAAGCTACAGAAACACAAGTTTCTGGGCTTGACTTTCCTGAGGCAGCTCATCCTTATACTGGCACTTAAGGTTTAAGGCACACTGACGGGCTTCAGGCCAGGGACAGCCGTGGTTCGGACGGGCAGCTCCAAGGCTCTCTCACCTTCTTGGCATAGAGCACAATCTTCTGGAATTGGCCCGTCTCTGCAAAGCACTGGATCACTTTGTTAGGCACGCTGGCCCGCAGGTAGACACTGAGCGCAAGCGTCGGGTCAGCGGCTTTGACCAGATCTCCCAGCTCCTCCGAACACTCCAGCTAAGACACACGACAGGAGAGAATGCTGAGCTCAGCGACGCGTCCTAGCTAAGTGGGCGCGGTCAGCGCTTGGCATCGTGCGTCCTCACCTTGTCCTCCTTAAGCCACTTCTCCAGGAGCTGCTTGCGGCCCTGCTGAAGGACAGGCCGGCAAAGCTCCAAAGACTCAAACTTATTGAGCTGCCCTTGGTCCAGTAAGATCCCAAAGTACTGGAGCAAGGGGGAGGCCTGTCCAGGCTGGGCCGGCACACTCTGGAACTTGCGGATGGTGTCGCTGGTGCGCAGGATTCCCTAAAGGAGCAGCAGAGACAATCACAAAGGCAGAGAAGTCACTCCTTGGGCCCTGCACACCACTCTCAAGCTCCAACTGTGCTGCCCTCATGCTTAACCGAGAAAATGCAAGGGGACACTGGTCCCTGGCTCCTCAGAGAAATGCATGCTGACCTTCTTGATCAGGCACTGGCTCCCATCAATGCCCATCAGGAGAGGTCAAGGCCCCATGTCCAGCCAAAGAGCTTTCTGTGATGAGACTATGAGGCAGAGACGCTCCTCTGGGAAAAGGCTCCTCCCTTTCCTAACTAATTTTGTGAGAGAAAACACTGCCCTCGGTCTTTTCCCAGCTTACTGGGCTTTCAAAGATGACCCTGGTCTGTGGGAGGAGAAGAGACCCTTTCCATTAGCCTGACCCACCCTCCCGCCATCACTGCCAGGGAGAGTGCAGAGGAGCACAAACAGCAGAAGCTGGCAATGCCCAAGGTTGCGAGGTACAGGCACTGCCATCTACAAGCTGCCCAACCCAGAATGGTGGAGAACTCTTGTCTTTCTGGGCCCGCGGGCTGGTGTTGCACCAAGTGATCGGAAGCCCCTTCCAGCCCGAGATGCTTCTGACCCGCTGCCTGCGTTACCTTGGGTGCAGAAGCTGCGACTTTGGCGGCCTCGGCGTAGCTGCCCTGTGCAAACAGGCTATTAAATTTTCGGGCAAAGAGCTCCTCTGCCCCGGCCAGGTTGCTGCGAATGGCCATGCGCAGCCCGAGGTCTGGGTTCTGGAGCACGCTGGTGGCATAATTGACAATGTTATCTTCTTCCACACAGATTGACAAGACCTGGAAAGGACCAGAGATTACAGGGAGTAAATCCGCAGGAAATAATGCAGACACCCACACTGCAGGAGAGTCACTAACAAAGCAATCCTGATTCAGAACTGAATTTCCCTCTAGAAGCTTCTGGTTTGGTTGAGAGAAACGTTTCTGTGAATTTGCATCTTCATAGATCAGGAGGGGACCGGCCGGGGCTGCAGTTGGGAAATGATGCAGGATTCCCAATGACCCAAAAGAACTTTCTACTGCAAACATCCATCTTTTTAACATTAACATTCTCTTGTCAATGCTACCTGGACAGGATTCCAAGAATGTCCTGATCCCAAAAGAATTACCATTATAAATAATTCAAAGTGCCCTAGAAATAAACATGGTGGCTATAAGCAAACTGCATATTACAGATAACCTCCACCCAAGAAAGGGCATAAAAATACTATGGAGGACATGAATTATTGCGAAAGGAAATGGGACTGGTCACCTAACAAGAGATAACAGATTTGTTGGGTAGGGAAAAGGCTATATTTGAAATAAAAGTAACATTTTAATTTATTTTTTAATTGTCAAGTATTTATTTTTTTTCCCTCCTACAACCCCTATTGAAAATCAGAAACCGGGGCAGCTAGGTGGCGCAGTGGATAGAGCACCGGCCCTGGATTCAGGAGAACCTGAGTTCAAATCTGGCCTCAGATATATCACACTTACTAGCTGTGTGACTCTGGGCAAGTCACTTAACCCCACTGCCTAGCCAAAAAAAAAAAAAAAAAAGAAAGAAAATTAGAAACCAAACCAACTTTTTTTTTGGGGGGGGGGATATTTGGGTGAGGCAGTTAGGGTTCAGTAACTTGCCCAGAGTCACACAACTAGTAAGTGTTACACGTATGAGGCCGCATTTGAACTCAGGGCCTCCTGACTCCAGGGCTGGTACTCTATCCACTGTGCCACCTTGCTGCCCCCAAATCAACCTTTGTAATAAATGAATGAGATGGTAAAGTCAAAGGCATCAATAAAATTAAAAAAAAAAAAGGCAACAGATGAACAGCACAAGGGACATATTAATGCCCTTCACTAAAAAGATAAGGACAACTTCTAACACGTGCGGTAGAGCCTTCACTCAATATTTATGGGAAAACAGAAAACAATTACCACATGAAACCAGAGGATCCATGGAATATCTGCAAAGGAAGAAGTGACCATAGGACTTCCAAGATATTAAAGAGGGAATCAGGTTATGAAGTCATCCAATCCTAGGTATGTATACCATGGGTACGCTAACAGTACTGACAGAGGTTGAATCTGGTTCAGTAGAGAAAGGCTTTATGCAGAAAAACAGATTTCTCCACAGTGAAACCTCTGAGTCTGGAGATAGTACAGATACATGAAATATTCACTGAAATGGATCCATCATCTCACAGATATTCAATGAAACAGATGACGACTGATCCATGCTTGTTCATCCATATCCTCTCACACACCAGGAGTGTTGTGTGGGTGGAAGGGGCAATACGCCAAATTCTCCTAATTTCCCCTACTGATAAAGCATATGGGTTGACCAGTGGTTGTCGTGACACATAGAACCACCAGAAAAAAACTAGTACTGAAAAAGTAGATTTTTCAGAGAAAACCTTGGGCCATTAAAAAGAATTCGGATGTTTCCCAGGGGCAATCCAGCCTGCTCCACTCTCTTTCAATTCTGGGGCTAAATCACAATCCATCTGCAGTGTCTAAGATTACTACATACACAAGACGCCCATCCAAGTGCATGCCAGTCTGGACAAGGGGTATTCTTCATCCAATGATCACTCATGACTGTGGCCAACGCTATGACGGGCCACAATGAATATGCTTTTTCAAATGTTTATTGCTGTATTTTGCTTTTCTATCACCTACCTCATCCACTGCACCTCACCTCCCAGCCTCTTGCAGAGCGAGTCATTCCTTAACTAAACAACGTATCAGAAGAAACCTGGCATCATATGCACAGGGGCAGGTGCAGACTCTCACATCCCTTTGGAGGGAAGAGCTCTGTCCTGATGACGGAAGATTCACTTGTAACGTTTCTGTTGTTGCTGTTCTAGACACTGTCGTAGTCACTCGTGAACGTTGTTTCTGCAGTTCTCACTTTCATTAAAATTCCACTAGACTCACGTGGCACCATCTCTTTAGTCATTGCCCAACTGACCACTGCCAGGCTTGGCTCCCTGAAGATGTGCTCCTAGAAATATTTTGATGTGCTCCTAGAAATAACTCACTAATGCGAAAATATGTCTAACATGAATGTAAACGTACAGCTTATATCAGATTGTACGCCACCTTGGGGAGGGGGGTGGGGAGGAAGGGGGAGAAAAATTTTAAACTCAAAAGCACATGGAAGTGATTATTGATAAATGAAAATAAATTAATAAAAAAAATTAAAAAAAGAAATATTTTGTTGTGCATATATATGTCTCAACAGTGGGAGTTCTGGGTTAAAGGGTAAGGGCATTTCAGTCGTTTTCTTTGCTTAATTACAAATCGCTTTCCAAAATGTATGGACCAATCCACAGTTCCGCCAACAATGCATTAGGGTGCCCATCTTTCCACAAACCCTCCAACACTGATCATTCCCATCTTTGTCATCCTTGCCAATTTTCTGGGTGCAAGGTCAGGGTTGTTTTGTTTTGAATTTCCCTTGTTATTGGTGATTTGGATAATTCTTTCAGATAGCTGTTAATGGTTCACAGTTGTTTCGAGGACGGTTTGTTCATATCTTCGGAACCCTAAACAGCCAGAGAACAGCTTTCAGTCTTATGTATGTTAACTGTCTACATTTCCTGGAACTTGATATTGAGGGAACTGAGGGGGTTAGGAGAGCAAATGGTTAATTGTAGGATTGAGTGAACCACACTGACTCTATCTTGTGACTCAGTTCTGGAGCGAGCTCAGTTCTCCTTCCATTCAATGATGGGTTTAATACAACTTCTGCCTTGTGAGAAAACTTTATTCAATTGTGGGAATTGGGAGAAAACAAAATAGCACTGTTTGAGCCTAGCACTGCATGGCTGAGAAACTGGATCACCCCCACCTGCTGCTTAAAGACCCTTAACTAAGGACCTTGGTTATGCTGACCAGAAACCCAGTTCGATCTGAAGACTGATGTGAGGAGTTTTCTCACAATTGTACATCTCAAGCAACACATATATCTTATCAGAAAATTGGCCCCCGATCAATCAGTTATTGTTTCCATGTTCCTTTGATTGAATTACAGACATCTGGGGGGAGTGGGACATCTCCTTTTCTAATTTCAGGGAAGTGCACCTATTGACTCTACCCCTCCCCACTTACAAAGTCCCCAATCTTTCATCCAATTAGAAACTAGATTATCTAATGTTTTACTATTTCCTTTTAAATAACTGGCCTTATTTGATTAATTGTTTCTAATGTATAAATCTGTCTCCCCCTGTATTCAGGGTCCAGTGCCAAAGCTGAGGAAAGTGGCTGGGTCCCGATTTGTTGGGCAATTGCTCAACAAAGCAAAATGCCTGGATGCTCAAACCCTTGCTGCTTCAGTCATTTTATCTCATGCCCACCACAGTATGCCCACCACAGTATCAATAACCAAAGGGTTGAAGAGTCTCTCTCCTTTTTCGAGGACCTGCATGATTTTGTCACACACGGCGGCGGAAAGCTTGATTTAAGGCAATCTCATGCTGCGGTCAGACACGAGCACGGTGAGGTGTTGTCTTCCTTCCACCTGCTGAGCCAGCATGCCGTGGCCTGTCACCCCTGAAGCCTGAATGCTTCCTCCTCTCTTCATCAAGACTCCCCTCGCTCCACAATGGCACAAACTTGTTGCTTTTCCCAGCTTCGTTCTCATTAGCGCTATCTGCACCTCCTTGACAAGCAGAACTATATAAGAGTGCATACGAACTGCTGCTATTGTCCTTGTCAGTGAAAAAAGTTGGTTAGAAAAATCCCTGAAAACCTTTTCTATCATTTGTCTATTTACTGTCCTAGCTTCGTCCTCAAAATGTCCTCATGGGATGATTGTCCTTAATCGGGACTCTTGGCAAACTTTCTTTAACCGAGTTTTTCCATCCATTGATTCTCGCTGTTTTATCAGGAAATACTGCTCATAATATTCTACTATCCTTTTCTAGAAGATTTTATGGGCAAGTTTATGTACTAAAGCAATGTTAAACTCGGTTGCCACCTCTCTCCACCAAGCAAGTAACATTGGCTGATCAAAAATTTTTTTGGCTCTTCTGGGCTCATGTTTACACCACTTTGCTATAATTGGTGTTGGTGTTCTATTTATTTCCCATTTTTCAGTGTATCTTCTTTAAGCATGGAGTTGTTTTAAATGCACACCATCTCTTTGTCTCATAGTTCTTTCTTCTAGTCTTGTATTAATTTTGATCCATCAAGGATGCCACTGTCCATATGCAGCATCTGCCCAAGACATCTGGACAAATGGACCAATTCTATGGATTGTTCAGACCACAATACATTTGGATGGACAAATGGTATTCTCCATCCGATATCCGTAAACTTTTCCTGTGTGGATTTTAGGCCAAGCTCTTTTGAGTGATCATGATCTGTTACATGCTGGAACTGGATACCATCAATGTGATGTCATCTGCAAACATCACCACCTACGGCAAATCCTCTGGTTTGCGGTCTGGGCGTGACGTGCTCCACAGGGTCAGCAAACACTTTCTAGCAACAAGATGTCTCCACTTCTATGCTCTCTTTAATATTAGTAACCAGAGAATTAGATAAAAAAGCTACCTCCCCTGTTAGAGATCTCAAGGAATCTTGTACGATTTTTCATTGTTTGCATGGCTAATGTCCTATTGGACGACAGACTTTCAGGTGTTTTGGACAAATCAAATTTTATTTACTAATCAAGCAATAAGCAGAGTGATCTCATGTCCTCTACTCCTTTTCATCAACCGTGTGCCTGAAAAGCGGTAGTCATTTGTAGAATTTTACTCAAAGGCCCATCTGTTCTATTCCCATACCCTCATCAAAGATGCCACTTGTACATACACTTGTAGGTTTTTCCCATTAAAAATCTAGTAGAGCTCAGGGACAAGTCAGAAAGCCGACGAGCTGGGAGTCAGCGATGCCCATATGCTACTCTTCCCAATTCCGTGCCGTTTCTACTCCTTCAATCAGCGTGTTTGTGACTGTGACTGAGAAAGCTTAGGAGAATCTTTTAAACTCTTAACAGAAAACTGACTTCTTGATGTTGTTTCTGTGGGGATGAGATAGAAGCTGTCCCCTACTTGGGGAGAAAAATCTAACCTTTTCTCTAAAAAGCTGGCAGTCTGACTGAACACAGATGATTTCGATTCAGAAAGGACTCCCAAATTAGTAACAAGCCATTTCCTGTCTGTAAAAATACAATTTCTTGTGGCTTTATGTACCGTTGATCATATCTTGTGCCATATGGTTCCTTTCTCAACGAAAGTGTTGAAGAGGTACAGTGTGAGGCTTCTGTGTATTCTGCCTCTCATCTCTTAATTCTGACCTTTTTTATGATTAAAAATGTTTTACTCATTTCTAAAAATCGTTGTCCCTTCCCAACAATTCCCCTTCCCACCCCAGGCCAAACAGCCTCCTCCCCTGTAACAATTAAGTCCAGTCAAACAAAACAAGTCATCGGGATAACTGTCTGAGAGCAGATGCCTCATTATGCTGCCATAGTCGACCACTTTTCAGCCCAGCGGCAGAATGACGCTCATCATTATCTGATAAATTTCACTTGGTCACTGACTACACTGGTCAGAATTATGAAGTCTTCCAGCCTCAATTTTCATTAGCACAGTCCTTGAATAAAGTGTTATCTTTGTTTAACTCTGCATCAACTCGTATGAGCCTTCTCCAATTTTTTTTTAAAATTCTTCACATCCATCATTTCTGACAGGGTAACCATATCCTCTTCCATTTACATGCCACAATTTATTCCTCTATTCTACCATAAATGGGTACTCAATTCCTTTCCAGTTTTTTTGCTATTAAAACGATGATACAAATATATTGGAGAGGTGGGGACTCACCTCTATCTTTCCATTTATTTTTGCTATCTTCACCCATTTCCACCTTCGTATTGAAGTTAGACTACATTAAAGCATGTATTAATTTAATTTGTAGGGTCTTAAATTTGATAGAATCTCTTTACTTCCCCAAACCTCACTTGGCTTCATGGTTGTCTTTTTATTTTTAAGGAATTATTTCCATCAGCAAAGTTTTATACCACTTTGACCATTTGGCCAATTCTGTTTCTGAAGGTGGTGTTGTCTTCAGTATTTTTTGTATCTCTTTTACCAAACTGTTAATTCTCATTTCATAATTTTCTTGCATTGATCTCATTTCTTCTCCCAATTTTTCCTCTACCACTGACCTAATTTCATTTTTTTTTTTTTTTGCTCTTTCTTTAGCTTTTCCAGGAATTTTCTCTGGGCTAGTGTCCAATCTGCATTTTTCTTTGAGGCTTTGCTTGTAGCTGTTTTCCACGGCATTATCTTCTGAGTTTGCAGTTTTATCTTCTCTGTCACCATGATGGCTTTTTATGGTCAGGTTCTTTTGTTGTTATTTTTTGTTCATTTTTCCAGCCTATTGCTTGATTTGAAGCTAAATTTAAGATTTGGCTCTGCTGGGGGGAGTGGGGGGTGGAGGCACAGCACACTGTCCCAAGCTTTAGGCCTTTTCATGCTGCTGTTTTCACAGCTAGTTCTTTGGGGTGGGAGTGAGGGGTCTGTTAAGTTTTTGGTGTTTTCAAGGTGGTATGATCTGGGAAGAAAGGTGGTCATTGCTCTCCTGGTCTGCACCCTGGTACTTACCCAGGTAATATCAGAGGTCACAGCTAGGCTAAAGACTGTCATTCTTAGAACCCTCTTTCCTCTTCCCCACCACCTTGCTCCTGCACAAGCGTAAAGGACCCAGTGTGGACCAGAGAGAGAGACCGTATTTTTCTCTGTTTCACTTCGTTATCAATGAGCAACCTGTCAAGGGAGAACAAGCTTCTCCACAGACTACTTCTTAGAAAGCAGACGGCCTTGCTGGGATCCTACACGAAGGGGAACACAGCTGGCAGGGAATCGGCTGCACGGGGGCTTCTCTCCGACATTCTGCTGAATGGCATTCCTTAATTTCTCCTGGGGGTTCATGAAGAGGAGGGGACCTACCTGCCCTTTCTTGTTCACACCAATAATCCCAGAGGTGGGTTCATGAGGAGTAGTGACAAAGATCGTATCAGCGCTGATGCGGTTCATGTATATGCACACTCCAGACTCCAAGTCATACAAGTGAATGTAACCATGCTTTGTAATCAAGTAAATAACTCCATGCTTGATTCCTATCTGTAAGGAAAGGAAAAAATCGTAAGACCCTCACAGCTGTGTCTATGCCAGAAGCAGTTTCCCACTGAAACATTGCTTAATTCACCTCCAATGGGAGGCGGCCTCACTGTCCCTGAGGCACCCCCTACTCCTGAAAATAAGAGGTTTCTTTTTCACAACCTGGACCTTCAGTCCCTGCCTGCTAAGAGTCTCCATTTAAAAACGATCCAGGGATCACAGGCCGCCGTGAAAGAAGCATCACGACAGGGTGCAGGGCAGACAGCTCGGGTGGGGGTGTCCGTGTTCATTCTAAGTTGAAATCTAGCCTGTGAATAAGGCAATAGCAGCCCACACTTACGTAGCACCTCCTGTGTGCCAGGCCCTGTGCAAATACTTCTCAATAATTCTCTCATTTGATTTCACAACAAGGCAGCTGCTGGTATTATCCTCATTTTAAAGATGAGGAAACAGAGGCAAACAGAAGGTAAGTGACTTGCCCAGGGTCACACAGCTAGTGTATGTTTCTGAGGCTAGATCTGAACTCGGGTCTTCTTGACTCCAAGCTCAGGGCCACAGCCATTCCATGTGCCACCGAGATGCCCCAAAGTGGCGAGGAGCAGAGAGAGAAGAAATGTGAACTACCCATCCTCCTTGCCTGCCACATCAGATGGAGCTGACGGGCCTTTCACTTTGTCTCTGTCCTCACCTCTGCCGAGACACTATAGCTGAACGGTTCTGCAGGAGAACTATGTCTGAATAGGAGCTCCCTCCGCCATGACCTCTGTCACAGAAAGAACACTGGAAACCACGGAACCTGAATCTCGGCTCCCACACTTTTGAGACCTGTGACCCTGGAACACGTCCCTTGACCCCTGAGCCTCAGTTTCCTCATATGCAAAACGAGTGTAACACTCAACCCCATGTTCTTCACTGGGTCATTAGGAAAGGACTGCCAACAGGAAGCAAAGGCCCATCTCGATGTCACCATCTCACTGCCACTGTGGGTTATTCATCAGTTTTAACACTGACCCAGCAGGTGTGCAGCTGTGGACAGGGATCTTCCAACAGACATAAAATTTCAAGACTTCAACAGTTTTACAAAACAGAATTTGAAAGTCATCTGAAAGTATTAGTCCATAATCAAAAAACATTATTAAACTATCTGAAAAAGACAAGGGGGAAAAATGTTAGAACACAGACAACAGCGTGTTTTTGGCCTCCCCCTGCACCAGCCTCCTACGTCTGACTCGGGGTGTTCGTGTTGGTGAGAAATGACCAGCAGAGTAACCTTCCCCTTGGCTCTGTAGCTTTCCTTCTTAGAAGCCAATCAGGCCAATTATCAAGAAACAGAGGCAGTCTAACCAAGGATTAAACCACCCCACCCCACCCCACCCCACCCCCACACACATATAAAATTCTTTGTTTCAGCTAGTTCACAGGACCACACGGTCTGTGGCATCTGAGATCCAGAAGACGAGGAAGCAGGCCTGGGATACAGAAGTGATTGCCTCAAGGCTACACTAGCAGAGAGAGGAGCAGGGAGGATCTGAACCCAGGTCCTCAGCCTCCAAATCCAGGGCCTTCTCTGTCTGATTATTGGCAGGAACTGAGAGAAAATTAAACCATCTTACCTGCATGGCCACAGGGAAATCTGTCTGTGCCTCTGGAGGAAAAAACACGTCCACCGCTTTCTTCACAAAGGGTTGGTTCCCTGCTGCAGGCTGGCCCACTTCAATTATGTGCAGCTGGGGGAAGAGATTTCAGGTCATGATGCCCCGAGGCAGGCTGGCTGGGAAAGCCCGTGGGCTCTCGAGGCCAGGGGCAGTCTCCAGGGAACCAGCTTAGCTTCAAGCTGCCAAGACTGGACTAGCCTCCCACACGCTACACTGACCCAGGGAGCCGGGAGCACCGAGTGGGAGGCCGGGGGAGCAGCATCCAAGCAGGTGAGGCCACAAGAGGGCCTCTCGGGAAGTAAGAGGCAAGGCACAGAGCACATCAGGTAAGAGACGCTAAGGAGAGCGCAAGATGCACAGGTGGGACGGGGAAGAGAAACCCAGAAAGGAGAGCAGGGGGCGGAGATCCAAGAAAGCCCCATGTCGCAGAAGACGAAAGGGGAGGGAGGAAGTTATAACTGGAGGGCAGAAACCCTAGCCAGCTCCCATCCTTCTCTGGGAGTTTTCAAAGGCTGGGGATTCACTCAGCAGGCATTTGTAATCTCCAAGAGTACAAAACAATGTGCTATAGGATCAGACGAAGAGTACTCATAGTTTGGAGCAGAAACAAGGGAAAATCGGACAACTGAGGATTTGATCTAGGGCAGGACAGTAAATCCACAATCAGCAGGCAGAGACAAGCAGGCGGGAGGGTACCTGAAGGCTTTTTCCAGGGAACACTGTGCGGGCTACTGTCAGCTCTGCTGGGGCACAGTGCATGTGGTGGTGGGGGTGGGGTAGGAGACGATAAGCAAAGTCAGGCTGTCTTACGTGCTCAAGTCCTAAAAGAGGTAGAGCTTTACAGCAGACCACAGGGAACCACCCAGAGCTCTTGAGCAAAAGCAGGCCACCATCAGACGACCGGCAGCAGTCTGGGCAGAGGGCACGTCGGCAGCCAGGGAAACCCCAGAGAAGGCTGCCCAAGAACTCAGACGAGAGAGAAAGAGAGGCTGCGTGAGGGCGCTCCGGGAAGGGCAGGATCTCAGCTCTGTGATGTGGGCGAAGCCCTCGAGAGCCGAGGAGTACTGGAGAGCAAGAGCATTCTGACAAATTCCGGGGCACGTTCCCTTTGCTGCCAGCCCCCAACCAAACAAAATGGGGGGTGGGGACGAAAGGAGACTCGAAAGAGCTGAGTTTGCCAAGGTCAGGAGGCTACAACAAAGGGCTCCAAGACGCTGTTCCTAGTTCTCAGCTGTCCTGCGTTAGCCACACAAGTCACACGGGAGATCTAGGCTTCCATCACTGCCACATCTTAGGTTCACGTTCACCAAAGTCACGTATGCCAAAGAAAAGTGGTGCTGCTTCAACATTCGAAAGCTCTCTCTTTTACTTTGTAAAATCAAGTGTTATTTTTATCTTAAAGTTAAGCACCAAAAAAGAGCGCTTCTATATAAACAGGACACAAAAGAGGACTCTATGGAAAACTGAAATATCCATTTCACACCACGCTTTTTTAAAAAGGAGGTAATAATTCTGCACTTTCAAGTGTCCCGCTTGTCTGTTCTTCCTTCCGCTTCCTTCTGTGCATCTAAAAAAATGCTTCAACGCCTTTTTTTTTTTAAGTAGGGGGGAATCTATAGTGTGCTAATTTTTCCTCTTCCCCAATCCTACTGAACTTGAAAAAAAAAGAAATAAAAGATCCCTGAAACAAATAAGGCGAGTCAAGCAAACAAACCCACACAGGGGCCGTGTCTAAAAACACAGGTATCCTTCTGCACCCTGAGTCCGCTACCGTGGGTCAGGAGAGAGATAACACGCTTGATCCTCAAAGGCCCTCTGGTGACATGACGGGGCACGGAATCCAGTGGAATTCTACAGTCTCTTAAAGCTGATTTTCTCCACAAGGTTGTTTTCGAACAAATTGTCCTCTTGGTTCTAGGGCATACTTCCCAGGATTCTTTGCATGCATATCTTTCATTATTCCTTACAATGTAACATTATTATGAATGACATTCACTTCCAACAATTTGTTCAGCCATCCCCGTTTTTCTGAAACCTATTTCTTGCTCGGAGTCTCTCGGGATTTTGAAAACAACAAATCTATGTTTTATTTTGTTGGGACCTGCAATTCCATTAATGTGATGATCCTCCACCAATCTGGTCTCTAACTGTTGAGCTTAAAGAGGTTAAATGACTTGCCCACGGCCACACAGCTAGGAAGTCTAGAAGGCAAGACCTGACTCCCACAATGTCATGTCTATACAGCATATAAAAATCTAAGAGCATAGTAAGCGGAGGCCCCGACTCCACTACACCGGGCCTAAAAGCATAGCCCTGGCTAGTCTCCTCTTTACTAAAGTTCCTATTTGAGCCTGGAGCCACGTGCCTGTGCCTCAATTCCACCTAAAAAGCCTGCTCCGTTGGTACCATATTGCTTCTGTGCCAGAGACATGTCAGTATGTCCTGGGGCCTCCCATCACAGCCAGCAAATTAGATTTATCTCCAGAAAAGCCGGTGGATACCCCAAGAAGGCACAGAGTTTTATGTGTGTACACACAGACATATACATACATATATCTACATTTATATTACGACAAAACAGTCATAGCTAGACTCTGTTTGCTATACATCAATCAATCGTGAAACGACTGAGTAAACTGTGGGACAGGAAAGTCATGGATTAGGACTGCACTGAAAGAAACAAACGGGAGGAATTCAGAGACACTCGGGCAAACCTGGACAAACCGAACCAAGAGAGCAAGAGGCACCAGGAACACAAAACCAAGAGAACGCAGCCCCAGGGCTCTGACCAGGGTACAGAGGGGACTCCAAGAGGAGGGGGATGGGAATGAAAGGCCCTTGGTGTGGGGGAGGTGCTCTACCACGAGATCCTCAGATCCACGGTGCAGAGGCTGATCTCGCGGTGACAAGGGGAGGCTCTGCCAGACAAGGGCCATCAGGAAAGGACCGCAAGTTTTGAAAATCACTGAAGCATTTTAGAAGACTGGGCCCGTCCCATGAGGATAAAGCAGTGTTCACCAAAGCTAAAGCAGATATACAGCCGCTTACTGAGCGGTCAAGGAGGAGTCTGTGCACGGGTCTGGTGCTGGAGGATTCGATCCGGGAAGCTTTGAAGTTATGTAGGGTCGTAAAGAAGAGGTGAATCACGAGGGAAACGGAAAACATGGGAGGGGCCGTAGGCAAACAGGCACACTCGTACCCCGCTGGCTCAACGGTGAACTGGTTCAGTCATTCTGGAAACCAGTGCCCAGAAAGTCACCGAACTGCGCACGGCCTCTGGGTCACCCATGCTACTACTAGGCCTGTACCCCAAAGAGGCACCCAAGAAAGAGCGCCCCGATCTATCCGTACAAGAGACTCGGAGCAGATGGGTTTCCCCACGGCTCAAACAGGAAACTAAAGAGATGTTCTCTTGGAGAATGGCTCAACAAGCTATAGCAGACGAATCCACTGGAATATTCCTGTGTCATAAGACACGGTGACGTGTACGACTGCAGAGGAAACCAGGAAGACCTTTCTGAACTGATCCACAGCAAAGTGAGCAGAACCAGAACGTGTCATACAATGACAACATCGCAGAGGAATAAGAGACTTTAGAACGCTGATTAATGATGTGATAAACCACCAGGCCCAAAGAATGAAGATGAAACACAGGACTCGCCCTCTGACAGAGAGGAGGTGAACGTAAGATGTGGACAGAGACAGCGATGTTCAGATGGCGGGGGTGGAACGTGGAAGTTTATTTTGCTGGACTATGTAGATACATACTAAGCAATCTGATTTCTGAAGGGGAAGATGGGGCAGAGTAGTGAGAGGGATAGATTAATTTTTAAAAAATGGCTAAAAAAAGAAAATCGAGCTTAAAAAAGTCTGACAAAAAGCAAGTATCCAAAATTAGAAATAAGTTTACCTAAATCCCTTAATCAATGAAGGAGAATAAATGAATCAACCAAAAATGTTTTTGTTCAATATTCCCCTATCCCCACCCCCCCCCATTATGCCTGAAAGGGGAGGATTTCTGAGAAGGCCTGCACAGACACTGCTAGCTCATTTGGAAATCAAATCTCTATTGAATCACAGCTCAGAATTTGGGAGAAAACTGCTCGGGGAGCTGTGAATGCCGGCTTCACTGATAGCAAGGGAAATTCACTTTCTTTCTTCAACTGCCAGGCTCTGGCTTCTCATTATTATTCTTATTTTTATAAATTGCTGCTTATTGCAAGAACTGAGGCCCTAATCCCACAGAAAGAGAAGACGAAAGGCAAGAAAGAGAAAGGTTCTTACCTTGCCACCTGCAGAGCTCCGCACAGCAAAACAAAAAAGAGTGGAAGCCTTGGAGTTCCCTTCTATTTTGAACTCGGCGAAAGCCGCAGCATGACCTTCTATAGGCTGTGACACCTTCCTGTCCACCGAGTAAAGCTGCATGGCTCCAACCACACGGTTTTGCTAAAAGATTGTGCAGAGAGTGAAAAGAGCTTCGTTAACTTTCACACAGCACGAAAGCAGAGAGCCCGAAGAGAACGATGAGCGATTATTATTCTATCTTTAAAAAGAAAAGAGGCATTTTTAAAAAGGGGAAGGGGCCCTATCTTTTTAAAATTTTTTTATCAATAGCTTTAATTATCAGCATTTCTTTTTTTAAAAAAATTAATTTATTTATTTTTAGTTTTCAACATTCACTTCCATAAGATTATGGGTTTTAAATTTTCTTCCTCTCCCTCTTCCCCCCCGCCAAGATGGCGTGCAATCTGATAAAGGCTCCACTTGTACACTCATGTTAAGCAGATTTTCCCATTAGTCACGATGTAAAGAACAATTAGAACTAATGGGAGGAACCACAGGAATGAAGCAATAAAACAAAACAACAAAGGAAAAGAAGAGCAAATAGTCAGCTTCCATCTGCACCCAGACTCCGAGGTTCTTTTTCTGGATGTGGATAGCATTTTCCATCGTGAGTTTTGTTTGTTTTTTTAATTTATCAACAATCACTTCCATAAGCTTTTGAGCTTTAAATTTTTCTCCCCCTCCCTCCCCAAGACAGCGTGCAATCTGATATAGGCTATACATATACATTCCTATTAAACATATTTTCATATTAGTCATGTTGTAAGGAAGAATTAGAACCAAGGGGAGGAACCACAAGAAAGAGGAAACACAACAGAAGAAAAAAACAGCAAATAGTCTGCTTCGATCTGCATTCAAACTCCACAGTTCTTTCTCTGGTTGTGGACAGCATTTTCCATCATGAGGCCTTTGGAGATGTCTTAGATCCTTGGGCTAAGTCTATCAAAGTCAGTCATCGCACAATGTACAATGCACTGTGTACAGCGTTCTCCTGGTTCTGCTCACTTTACTCAGCATCAGACCATACAAGTCCTTCCAGATTTTTCTGAAGTCAGCCTGCTCATCATGTCTTATAGCACAATAGTATTCCATCACATTCATATATCACAACGTGTTCAGCCATTCCCCAACAGATGGGCATTCCCTCAGTTTCCAATTCTTTGCCACCACAATAAGAGCTGCTGTGAATATTTTTGTACATGTAGGTCCTTTTCCCGTTTTTATGATCCCTTTGGGATACAGCCCTACGAGTGGTATTGCTGGATTAAAGAGGATGCATAATTTTATAGCCCTTTGGGTAGAGTTCCAAATTGCTCTCCAGAATGGTTGGATCAGTTCTCAACTCCACTGACAGTGCATTAGTATCATCTTCATTTCTGAATGTAACCCATCCCCCTACCCAACAAGCCATCCCTTTACACAGAGGAAAAAAATTCAGCAAAACCAGCCCATTTCATACCAATGGAACCTGATGCATACGCAATAAAACCCAATTTTTTAAAGCTAGCTCTCGCTATATGCATACGCAATGTGCAGGAGAAATTGCAAATGCAATAAAATGATTTTCGTAAAAAAGCTAGATGTTGCTTTTTTCCAGGGGATGGCAGCCATACATGAGAAGGCAGCAGGTGATGTGACGTCAGCCTGGAGGAAGGGCTCCGGGAGCTCACCTGGGGAAGCTCCCCAAGGCCTCTGACCGTCATATTCAACAACCACCCCAATAAAGGTAGAGATGGCACACTTATCAAACCTGCAGATTACATAAAGTAGAAGGAACAGCCAACAGACTGGAAAACGCCCAGAATACTACAGGATGGGCTAGTTGTGAAGACTGAAGTGATTCTCAAATGAGACTGAACAGAGAACAATGTAAAGTCCCGCTGCTGGGTTACAAAAAATCCACCTCCTAAGCTAAGGAGAGGAGAGTCATAGCTAGAGGAAAATTCATACCAAATACAGATCGGGGCAGAGGTTTTGGGATGGGGGGGTGGTGTCAGTGAGCCACACACTGAAGGTGGGGCAGCCAAAAAGGCCGGGTGAGCCTAGACTGCTTGCGTGCCCCCGGCTCTGGGAGAGACGTGCCACTGGGCTCTGCTCAGGTCTGCAGGGAAAGTTACCGTATCCAGCTCTGGGGATCACATTTTAACACGGACCGAGACAAATTCTAGTGTGTCCAAAGAAGGGCAACCAAGATGGTGAAGGGAATGGACCAGGGGAAAGAAGCAGGGGTGCTTAGCCTGCAGAAATGACCTGGAGGGGACAGCTCCAACCGGGAGCACGCTTTTCTTTCTGTCCGGTCTAAAGTGCCACACCGTCATTCCCAGTCCGCGCTCTGAGGCCAAGCAGAACAATCAGAGCCCTTCGCCCACGAGGGTCACACGGATGTGAGCCAGGCTGCCTGCAGAGACGGTGGGGCGACGGCTGGAGGACCACGTGAGGGGCCACAGAGGATCAGGGTCCTCAGAGGTGCCTTCTGGGACTCTGACAAACACGTTCTCCCAAAAGCTGGAGTGTGAGAAGCAGCAGAGGCACCCTCAACTCCTGGGCCTTCCCTCTGGAGATCATTCCCCACTTATCCTGCACATAGCCTGGCTGTATGGACACAGCTGGGTTTGCTTGTTGTCTCTCCCACGCGAGCGCCTCGGGCAGGGACAGAACCCTCTCTTTGTACTCCCAGTGCTTAGCACAGTGCCTGGCATACAGTAGGCACTTAATAAGTGCATCCTGACTGACCTATGTGCTCTCTGTCTCACATGAAAGGTCTGGTTCATTCAGTTTTAAGCTTCACGCAGTACTCAATGGAACCCCCCCAAAATGAACGCTGTCAAAAGACACAGGAAGGAGAACTGAACTGCTAACACCCTGGCCGGTCATGATGGGTCATGGAGAGCTACCACCCACTGCCTTTTATTTTACGGGGGTGAAACCCAAGGCCCGCAAAAGTAAAGCCATTTTCCCAAAGTCCCAGAGTGCTGCGGGGTTGGGGGAGGCTGGCCAGGGCTGTCAGGACAGCCCTCAACTCCACTCCATTCCCTTTTGGGAACAAAGTCCTCCCACACGGCACACATCTTACATGTTGACCCAAACTTGTGTCTGCAAAGAAGCTTCCACCATTTCTTTGCATGGAGACACAGCAAAAACCAGTCAATATCAGGGCACGGCAGCCCGAATGGACCAGCTCTACAGAGCTGGGGTGTTATTCAGGCCTCAGGCCAGCACCTCACCTGGACATGCCCACACTGGGGGGAGAGTCCCAGCATCCCTGCTCACCTGGGCGGAGATGCCGATCAGCAGAAGCCACTTCTGGTGGTCATCGGTCCTGTAGTTGATGATCTGACAACCAGCCAGACTCGCGTGTCGGTCAAACATCTTCAGGGGCTGCGAGTCGCCCTCCATGCCCCAATGGTAGACAGCCACGTCGGTCACCAAGGCAACAGTGTTGACAGAGATCCATTTCCAGAAGGTCACCTCCTCTGCCATTGTGTGGGCTTTCATTTTACTCTTCATCTCAATGTTGAAAATTTGAAGGGTCTTTCCCGCTAGGAGGGAGGAAAGGAGGGAGGGGGGAGGGGAGGGACAGAGGGAAAGAAGAAAGAGAGAGATTAGCAACCTGAAACAGGCACATTTTTACATCCTCATAGCTATTTCTATAGCCACTTGATTAACCATTTCCATGTGTTTTGAAAACCAGTTTAAATTATGGTCTGCTGAAGGCAAAACTGGAATGAAAGCAGTGACGTGCTTGAGCTCTCCCCCAAATACCTGTAAAAAATGGCTCTAAACAAATTCTAAAACATCAGAACCCACAAAAAGACAGAGTGAAACAAATTTGCAGCCCAAGACAACCTGGATGGCTGATCAGAAAGGTATATTGTGCCAGGTGGGGAGAGGAGCGCAGTTTGGCATGGGCGCGCAGGCCACAGTGACCCTGGAGCAGGCCTCAGAGGGCTGAATCGTGGGCAGCTGCGGCGGTTTCCAGACTTCTCAACCCACGAACGCGAAAGACAACTTAGAAGGTCAGTGGGAAAAGTCTGTGAATGCGGTGAGAGAAGGAGTTAGGTCTCAGCTGCAAGTCCCAAGCGCGGCCTCTGGGGCAGCGGCTGTCTCCTGAGCTTCCGGCCCACAGACTGAGGGGGAATTGAGTGGCTGATCAGAGAAGGATTGCAGGGATCTCTTTGCCAGTGCTGAGGCAGGAATCTCTTGCTCTGCCTGTGCTTGCATCTGGATCACAGTTCTGAGGAGGGGTTCTGGGGTGAGAAGGAATGCTGGCGTGGTGTAGCTTGTTGTGGCAGTGGAGAGGAAACACCTCGCCCCTTATCACACCATGTTGGAAGACCTGAAAATTTACAGGTCCTTAAAAGTATCTCTGAAAACAGCTGTACGAACCCCCGAAGCTTGGGACAGTATATTCTCCACACTGGAAGCAGACTCTTACCTTAACAAAGAGTTTAAAACTCAAGTAATTGACCAGGATCATGTAAGCAGTGCAAAAAGAGTCAAACTATATTATCTTACTTTGGTGACAAAGAAGATCAAAACATACAATCAGATGAAGGCAAAACGGTCACAATGATCTGCTGTTGTCCAAATATTAAGGATGGAAAAGGATACCAGTAAAGTCAATTTTGTTTAAATGACTACAGTTGAAATGTCAGTCTTGGATTAGTTTTCTAAAAGATTTTTCTGGATATGAAAAAGGGAAGAGGATTGCAAATCTCCAATTTTATAAATACTAACATCACACATGAAATGTATTAACTACAGTTAATCGTATTACTAAGCCCTAGGGAAAAGTATTTTGTGCCCCTGGAGACAAGCCAGAACAGAACTTTCCTGGAGTCTAACCATGGGCCGCAGGAAGCCTGGCCTAGGTAAGCTCTCCTACACAGCCCCTTCCCTCCGCTGACACCACCGCCACCCCCATGTAGACCTGCCTCACCTCAAACCTGTCTGGAGCTACTGCCACAGCTGTGGTGGCTCTGCCTGCCTCAAGTCTCTCTCAAGCCAGCTGGGCCACTGACCAGTGACTCCTAAAGCCCAGGTCCATCCATGTCAAACCCCATCCCCATTTCAATAAGCTCCAGGGGCTCTGCTGCCTCCAGAATCACATACGAAATCCTCCATTGGCACTCAGAGCCCTCCATGAGCCTGCTCCCTTCCATCTTCCTGGTCTTCCACCTTCCTCCCCTCTTCTCTGTACTCGATGCCTTCTGCTGTTACCCACACCCACTCTATCTCCAGGCCGTTTCACCGACTGTCTCCAATGGCCGATATTCTCTCCCTCCTCACCTCTCCTCTCCTGGCTTCCTCCAAATCTCAACTAAAACTCCACCTTCTGCCAGAAACCTCTCCTGATCCTGCTTACATGTTGTCCCCCTCCTTAGACTGGGAGCTCCCTGAAGGGAGGGATCATTTTTTGCCTTTCCTTTTATCTGCAGCATTTAGCACAGTGCCTGGCACACAGTAGGGACTTAAAAAATATTTGATCACTTGACTGGTCCATTAAATACCTTAAGTTTACAGAGCCATAACATGTTATGACAAGAAAAATGCCAAATTATTATTACAGGGAAAAGTTAAGTCAGCTCAAACTGATATAAGTTTTCTTAAGTCACTTCTAAGTGGCAAAATTGCATTATTAGGACTTAATTTTAATGTCAAAGGTTATTTTTATAGTTTCATGCTTCTGACAGGAAGAAGTAAGCAAGCAGCCAAGACAAATTAAAAAGCCATTCACATTTTTCCTCTGGTTAAATGAACTCCAGCCAATCATTAGCCTGTTCCCAAATCAACATTCTGTGCATTTTATTAATTTCACGCATCTTTTAAGAGCAAGTGTTGCTTTCTTCCCTCACCTCATCGCGCCCTGAGCTCAGAGGCACTGAAGGATGGCCCAGGCCAGCTGGCCCTTCATTTCCCACCCAGCTGCATCCTGTGGATTTCGTCATCATGCCCCACATCCCTGGCAGGGACTGCCTTCCTTTTTCATATTTGTATCCCCAGTGCTTGGTACATAGTAGGCACTTCATGTTTACTGACTGAATGGCGATCACTAAGGAACGAGAAACTAAATGCTTCCATATATGAGATGCTCAATGAGGTAGCTAAGCAGGAAAATGGGCTCAAATTGTTTTTATCATTACAATATGACGCTGAGAACATCCTTGGATCAGAATGACTAAATCTGTTGGATATCTGTCCATCTGTAAGTTAAGCTAACCAAAAACAAATATTAAATATAAAATGTTACCTCATATCTTATAAAAAACATCTTTCCTCCTGTTTTTATTAAAACAGTTTTAACTAAAGTATATCAACCTAAGCTTGTAAGGCTCCTCCCATTCTATTACCATTATGCCTTCTTCAGTTTGAAGTGATTTGTGTCCAGCTAACAAGGCTCAAGCATCAGCCCTGAGCAATCTCCTCTTCTCATCTTCTATGTAAAGATGGGGTAAGGGAGCAAAGAGGAGAAGTATTAGAAAAAAGGATGGATGAAAAAACATGAAATTAAAAAGGTTTTACACAAACAAATCCAATGCAGTGAAAAAAAATATCTTTGCAGCAAGTTTCTCTGATAAACATCTCATTTCCAAGATATATAAGGAACTCACTCATTTGCATTTGTAATAAGAGCCATTCCCCAATGATCAAAGGCTATGAAAAGGCAGCTCTCAGAGGAGAGAGCAAAAATCCAAGCAAACGGAGTCACGTGAGTCCATGCTTCAAATCACGAAAAAGGAGAAAATGCAAATTAAAGCAGCTGTGAGGGTCTACTTCACACCCAACAGAAAAAATGACAAATGTTGGGCGGCACGCGGCTACCCTGCTGGAGAAGCTATAAACTGGTACAGCCATCTTGGAAATCAATTTGGAACCATAACCAAAAAGGGACTAAACTGCGCATACCCTCTGACCCAGCAGTGTTATTAGGCTCAAACCTCAGCGAGATCAGATAAGAAAAAGGCCTATTTATGCAAAAATATTAATAGCGGCTCTTCTTGTGAGGCTTGCGTACTAGAAATTAAGGCAGTGCCTATCAACTGGGAAATGGCTGAACAAATGACGGTATGTGAGCGTAACGGACTCGTACTGTGCCCTGTGAAATGAAGAAAGCCTAGAAGACTCATATGGACTTTGACACAGAGTGAAGTGAGCAGAAGCAGAACAATGTGTAAAAATGAACAACTCGGAAAGACGATTTCAGAGGCGCACTGGTAGAGTGTCACCCACCTCCCGACAGAGCCATGACATATCAACATGCAGGAGGCGATGCATAGTTTGGGATGTGGCCAACTCGGGGATTCATTCCCAAACAGGAGCTGCTGTACCCAGGCTTTGAAGACTCCCAGCAAGGCAGGAGGCAGAGTCACCCAATTCTGGAGAGCTCGAAGGGTTAAGAAGCGTTTCCTTCTACCACACCTAAATTTCTCTCCTCCCACTTCCACTCACTGCTCCTTAGTAAAACTGGCTTTTACTCAATTTGACCTAATAACCATCATCAAGTTTAGCTTACCTGCTTAACACCCATTCCTTGTTCATGTAAAACTAACTTCCTGTTCCCACTTGTTACTTAGATAAAAAATTAAGGAATGCTATTAAGAACAAGTATTTTCTTTTCCCTACTTGGGCTATTACATTGTTCTCGTCTAACAGATATAAAGAATACGTGGTACTCATTACACTGTTGTTAAGTAGTTAAATTCTAGGACTGGTCGGGCTACTGGCTCGGGTAGAGCGCGTGCAGTGACAACTACGGGCAGCCAAAAGCTTCAACTCTGACAAATCCTGGAAAGGACTACCTAGTGGAACAAGGGACACACTTTACTCTCACAAAGTGGAATTACTTGGAGGGTCTTTGGCCTATGCAAATGAACAAAAAGACGCTGGTACTAGCCAGCTGCGAACAAAGCCAGAGGTCACTTGATGATTCCTCAATTTAAACAGGCAGCCGAGGCAGCAGAGCAGAGGAAGCTGCACACGAGGCCGCCTGACCACCTTCCACTCCAAGCTGCCTTGGGACCAAGCTGACACATGCCAGGCCACCTGGATGCCCATCCCAATTTCAACACCGGCTCACTGTCTGTACAAAAGGGGCAAGCTGAGCTACTTCTATGAGTTCAGGCTTCGCCTCTACGACGGCATGCTTTCACAGGCCCCCTTTAGCTCCACCTCCTCCTCTCCCACAAAGACCGTGGCACCTCTGAAAAGGTGTTAAATTGCCACAACCTCAGTTAAAAGGCACCTGTGCTTCGTAGAGAGCACAGAACTGCCATTTGGATAGAGGGACAACAGAGGGAAAGAAATAAAGAGAGTCAGTGAGGGCAATCCTCAGACTGGTGGCAGCTCTCGACCGACGGCTCTTGGCCTCCTAAGGCTCAAAGCTAGGCCTTAAAGACCCACCCTCTCCTAACTCTTCTGCCACCAAAAGGCTCAACTATCCTGAGGTGGCCCTGGGTAAGGGAGACCCAATGACCAAAATGACTTACAGGTGGGGAAGAAAAGGTTTTACAGTCCTGTGTGGCCCGTTAACCACTTTTTAAGAGCCTAAATTCAGTCTAAATTTTTCCCCACTTGGAAAACAAAAGTTCAGTAAAAGATGAATAAAATGCATTTTTACATTCCCTTAATATATGCCTCCAAATTCCTTCCAACTCGTCCTATTTCCCCACCCTTCTTAATGGACTGAGAACATATTCTGTAGCACAAAATCAAGTAGCTGAGCTGGAAAAAACAGCCATGACTAAAAGGCCACGGCACAACGCTGAATGCGGTGGGGCTTGCCACGTGCAGTCCACAAATATGGTTTGTTACACACTCCGGTAACGGTCTTTCCTGCCGTCTGTCAACTGCAAGCCACCCACTGCCTACAGTTTCTGTAGATGAAGACAAAGGACGCCTCGGCTTCCACTCCTACCATCCCAAGTCTACCCGCAGGAAACGTGCGGAGGTCTCCACCCTCGGACGCTGCGGCCCACAGCTCAGAGCTCATCCGCGATGCCACGACTAATGAGGCGCTAACAACGCCAGCTCCCGGGTCAGTACCAGCTGGTTCTGCTGCTGCTCTTTCGTTTTTAACCACACCTACTCTGTCCTAAAAGTCCCTGCACATAACGACTAGATTTGTAGAAAAGCATTCGAGCCGTCACACGCTTCTTGTCTGCCAGGGTCGGGGGAGGCCCCGCGCAGGTGAGAAGCGCCTCCCCTTGCCTTCTTGGCTTCCAGACGAGTCTACACACCCCACCGGCCTGGATCGGCAGGGTGGCTGGAAGAACGGCGGGCTCTAATGTGGATTCCTGACCCACCTGATACATGAATGAACTGACCCAGAGAGAAACGTACGGCAACTTCCAACAAGTCCCTCTGAGCCAGGCTCGGGATTCGGAAGATCAACCGGGGCACGTCTGATGCACTTGCCCGGCCCAAAGACTATAGCAAAGACCAGGGATCCCAAGAAAATCCTGACGGACACAAGAGTCCACTGAATTTAGGATCCAGTCTTAAAACGTCCACGACTCCAGAGTTTTCCTGTACTAAAAAGTTCTGAATAGTTCTGGAAGTAGCTGATGCTTCTAAATGCCACTTTGTGCTTTAAGATCAACGCAGGGCCCACCATGGAGAAGGGACCCAGTTCACCACTACAATGGCTCCGACACAAGGCACTTCTTGGACACGAAGAATGCCACGGTGATTGTTCCAGACTAGCACAAGGCAAGGCAAGCAGCATTTGTGAATGTGCCAGGCACGAGTAGACGTAGTGAAGAAACAAAAAAGAAGATTAAAAAAAAAGAAACCAGTCCACGCTCTCCAGTCTTAAGGCTCACATGGGAGACGATACACAAACAACTACAAACAAACAAGACGCAGACAGAATCACCTGGAGATCACCTCAGAAAGAGGCACTAGCATCCCAGGGGACCAGAAGGTCAGACTTCAGGGAAGGGAGCATTCCGGGCTGGGGGGACACCAGAGAGAATGCCCGGCACCGGGAGAGGGAGGGTCTGGTGCGTGGGACAGCCGGAAGGACATGTGGAGGAGGGAGGATGGGGCAGGTCACGGAGGGCTCTGATGGCCAAACAGGAGTCTGTATTTGCTCCTGGCGGTAACAGGGGCCACTGGAGTTCACTGCATGGGGAGGAATGTGGCCAAAGTGCACCTTTCCAAGATGAAACAACAAAATGACTGACATACAAGCCAAGGCACCAACACTGGTCTTTCGTAAAAGCTCTGTGACATTATTAAACGTACCATGAGTAAGTTCTGCTAGACACGTCTACGTCGTCACAGTCAAGGACCAAAGACCTAAGTGGGAAAATGATGAACCGAGGAGACCAACTCAATAAAAACCCACTGGCTGACGTCCGCCATGATGAGGACCAGCCACTCTGCAGAAGGCTCACAAGAAACGCTCAGGATAAAGTCAACTCGCCATCTGTTTAAGACTAGAAAGCAAGAAGGGAAGCGAGCACAGATTTATTTTGGATCAAACTTGGTGTTTGAACAGAACGTCTTTCCTCCCAGACACTTAAACATCCACCAAAGGGGAAAACCGTCAGAAGCACACAGTCAACACAGCAGTCTGGGAGTCAACACTCCCAAGCGTCAGATGTAGGGTTTTCCCTGCTCCAAACGTGACAAGGATCCCAGGATGAGCCATCAGTGAGGATGTGGCAGGTTTTCCCATTCTGCTAGTGTACTAAACGTAACTATCTCAGCCCCTCTCTGATGTGATTGCCTTCAGGCTTTAGGTCACTGCTCCAAGGTGGTGGAATTCCCACATGCAATAACATCAGCTCTTACTTAGGCATTGAGAAAAGTTCTTCCAGGATACACAAGGCTTCTAGGATCCCTCACTGGCACTTTGGGTGTTAGTGCAAGGGCACAACAGCTGAGTTTGACACCAACAGCCTGCTGACCACCCGAGCCGTCCCAGAGGCTTGCCAGAAGGCAGGCAGAACCGCAGGGCCTTTCCACCCCTTCCAGGCACCAACCGGTCCCAAGGCAAGCTAACCCCCCTTCCACTATACCCGGTGCTAGACCAACCACGTGATCCATGTCAGGGACCACGGTTCTGCTAGACAGCTTTCCCTGTGTAGGCGCTCAGTAATGCTTGCCTGCATGCTAGGAAGCCTCCAAACACTGCCACCCACATACCTTTCAGGGCGATCACTCTTGAGGCTGGATTCATAATGGCACTGTCCGCAGAGATGGGCCGTCGGATGGGAGCGGCTGGATCGCTCGTGTCGATGATGACCACCTGAGCTTGCTCTCCCACCTTCTCTCGGATGCAGATGAACTTGTCAGACTCCATCGTCAGCGTGCTGAAGCCAACGTTGGCCGGATTGATGCCCAGGTTCTGAAGCTAGATGTCAGAATACGTGGTTAAACTAAACAGAACTTCTGAGGGGAAGGGAGGGGAAGGGAGCTGAGTGACCACGGCGTCTGCGCCTTTATTCTGCAGAAAGAAACAGCCAATTTCCCCCACTCTCCACACGGTCATGATCGTGAGAGTGACCCAGGGGCCAGGATCCGCCCCTAGGTCTTCAGATTCCAAACCCAAAGCCTTCTGTGCCACGCCGCCC